AAAAATTGACATGGAATATTGGTGGGTATTTGTCTTGGTGCTTAAGCTGCTGCTTGGGATGTCCACATCCCATATTGGAGTGTCTTGTTCAAGTCCTGGCTCTATTCCAATTCTAGTTTCCTGCTTATGTACACTCTGAGAAGTAGCAGGTGGCGGCTCAAGTATTTGGATTCCTGCCATCCATATGGGATACCCGGATGGAGTTTCTGGCTCCTGACTTTGGCCTGGCCCATACTCAGCTGTTGCAGTCATGTGGGAGTGAACCAGCAGATGGGAGATTTGTCTCTTTCTTTTATATGTGTGTGTGTGTATACATAAAATGTGTGTGTGTGTGTGTATATATACACATATATACTTAATAAAGGTGGAATAAAGACATTTGAGATAAGCCTGAAGGAGTTTAATATCAACTCAAAAATGCATGTCATAATCTCTTGAGAAATAACTAAAAAGATATCCCAAGAGATATAGGCAGAAAACAAATCAAGGGATTAACTTAAGTATTAAAAATAAACAGAAAAGCAATAAAAGGAGGAAAGGAGAGATTAAAAATCCACCAAGATGTGGCAGGCATTGTGGCGTAGCAGGCCTGCTCCTTGAGGTACCCATGCCCCGTATCTGAGTACAGTTCAAATTGAAGCCATTCTGTGCTTCTGATCCAGTTTCTTAGGGAGGCAGAGGATGATGGCTGAAGTACTTAGGTCCCTCACATCCATGTGAGAAATCTGGGGATGGAGTTCCTGGCTCCTGGTTTCATCCTGGCTCACCTCTGATGTTGCAGGCAATTGGGGAACGAACTAGCCAATGAAAGATTTTTCTTTGCTCTGTCTCTCCCTTTCTCTCTTGCTCTGTTTTTCAAATAAATACTAAAATAAAATAAAAAAAAGATGAGATGGGGCCAGTGCTGTAGCACAGCTGGTTAAGCTACTATTTGCGGCACTGGCATCCCATATGGGTGCAGGTTCAAGTCCTGGCTGCTCCACTTCTGAACTAACTCCCTGGTAATGTGCCTGAGAAAGCAATGGAGGATGGCCCATGTACTTGAGCCCTTGACACCCACGTGGGAGACTTAGAAGAAGCTCCTGACTCCTGGCTCTGTCTGGTCCAGCCCCAGCCATTGCAGTCATTTGGAGAGTAAACCAGTGGATGGAAGATCTCTCTCTCTCTCTCTCTCTCTCTCTCTCTCTTTTTCTCTCTCTCTCACTCTCTCTTTCTCTCTCTCTCTCTCTCTCTCCCTCTTTCTCTCTTACTGTGTGTGTGTGTATGTGTGTGTAGCTTTGCCTTTTAAATAAATAAATCTTTCTTTAAAAGAGAGACAACATAGAACAAAATGAGCGGCCAGTGCCACAGCTCACTTGGCTAATCCTCTGTCTGCGGCGCCAGCACCCCGGGTTCCAGTCCCAGTTGGGGCACCGGATTCTGTCCCGGTTGCTCCTCTTCCAGTCCAGCTCTCTGCTGTGGCCCGGGAAGGCAGTGGAGGATGGCCCAAGTCCTTGGGCCCTGCACACGCATGGGAGACCAGGAGGAAGCACCTGGCTCCTGGCTCCTGGCTCCTGGCTTCTGGCTCCTGGCTCCTGGCTCCTGGCTTCGGATCAGCACAGCGCACTGGCCGCAGCACATTGGCCATAGCAGCCATTTGGAAGTTGAACCAACGGAAGAAGGAAGACCTTTCTCTCTGTCTCTGTCTCTCTCTCACTGTCTAACTTTGCCTGTCAAAAAAAAAAAAGAGCTAATGCACCCTTGCAAATAATTATATTAATATGAAATGCACAAAAATATTCAAGCAAAAGGAGAAAGTGTCAAACTGGATAAATTTCAAGTACCAACTATATGCAGCCTGCAAAGAACGTACTTTAAAAATAAGGCCCAAAGAAGAAATAATAGAAGAGAGATCAGGCAAATGAGAAGCATAAGAAAGAGTGGTGACATCCATATCAGAGAAAATGGTCTTCAGGACTCCTGGAGCCACATGATGATGACAGAGAGGTCATTAATACCAGAGAAAGATGACAATGACAAGTTGCATTTCTCCAGTCAAGTAATAGGAGGGTTATAGGATGCAGGGCACCCTGAATCCCACATTAGAGTGGCATATATGAAGCATATATATTTCACCTACCTAGTTTTCTACTGATTCTTCCTAGTATAGTTTCTCTTTCCCACCAGAGCATAAACTCCAGTAATGTAGGTGCTTGTTTTTGTCTGATGTATTCACTTCTATGTCCCCAACACCTAGAACAGTGACCAATGTATGCAAGGTACCAAGTAAATATTGGCTGAGAGTAGACATGCATGACTAAATAAATGAATGAAATGCCAGCTGGGCAGCCAGATTGTACAGCTCCATGAATACCATTTCCCTGGCCTGTTTTCCGTTCTTCCCACATTCAAGGAAATGTATCCGGCAGTCACTGTGCAACTAACTTCACATTTCAGGACATGTTTTTATCCCAGTCAAAATACTGTGATTATTTGGCTGAATGCTGCAGGAAATGACCAATAGCTGCAACGCATGACACAGTCCTTGGCTGCAGAGACTGGACAGTTTCCCTGCAGAGTAAGTCAGTGGAGCCACAGGAAGGGGAGGCAGAAACATCTTTAAATGATTTTTAAGAAATGATACAGCTGGCCTTCTTGTTATTATTCTTTGATACATCTGACACTCACCTTACAAAATTCAATTGCCATTTAGTTAGTCTGAATTCTTCTCACCTCCACACCCATGTCTGGGGAAAATGATAAGTCATACTCAACAAAACAAAGGCTTAGAGTTCCCCGTCTTCTGGGGACAGCAGCTTCCTTACAGGACCTGATAAATATTACAGACCCACCTCCCAGATTCATCCACACATATAACGTTTCAAGGGTGGTCGGTAGTTTGAAGGATCCACAGATCAGATCCACAGACTATGTGTTCTGAGGCAAAGTGCTCCATTGTACAGATAAAAATACCAGAGTCCAAAGAGAAAAACACATCCAACCTAAAGCCCCACACTTGACTAACTCCACATCTCCTAATGCCAAGTCAAGCGTCATTTCCACTACTTCACAACTATTTTGCTTCTTATAAGCAGATGAAATATGTGCCACCATCTCTGAGGAATAAAGTACAAGAATCAGCTGGTTAATGTCCAGTGTGGAGGTGAAAGGCATGAATAGAATGTGACGAGATGAGGGCCTGTGCCTGAGTAGAATGCTGATTGAAATCTCGACCCTCTGCTCAGCTGTGTGATCATGAATGCATTACTGGATGTTTCTGTTTTCCTGGTCGGGGAGATGGAAATTAAGAGTATCTACTTCACATGGCTTTGGTCAAGATTATATACTCTAATCATAATTATAAAGCATTAACTGTTATCAGTGACTTTTACAGTTTCAAACATGGAAGTGCAAAGTATTTTGAATAATGACAGTACAATTAGGATAGGGGTCTATCCGTCTATAGTACAACTATAGCCAGAAATATAAAGTGCCTACAGAGTTTAGGAGATAGGCCACCATGCAAGAGCTCAGCTCCCAGCAACCGAAAGCAAGAGAATGTTTCAGTCAAAATAGTCAAGGTGCGTTCCTGTATCAAATCTTAAAGACTTAACAGCAAAAAGAAGATTTGCTTCTTAATCACAAGACTTGCCTGTTGCCAGCTACTTATGATTGCCCCAGCTTGCATCAACCCAGGACTTGGCTGTAGAGCAGACTCCTTCTGCAACATCACCTATCATCATGTCAGATGAGAATGACACCACGGCAAACCACATGCTGCCTTCTGTCTGGCAAGGACACGTGTCCCTTCCACTCATACATCACTGGCCAGCACAAGTCACATGACCAGGCTGCACCCTCATGGGGTAGGGAAGTAGGCTCCTTTCTTGTGACACGCTTATTGCAATGTACCACGGCAGACTGGGGCTGCCCTTTGGAGAATGGGCTGGGACCAGGAGCTGAAATATTTGAGTCTAGCCAAAATGACCAATTGAGCAAAAAGAGCCTTCAGATGACACAGAACAAAAGGTGAGGCCCAATCTAAATGATTACAACCAGGTGGGGTGAAAAGAGAAGCAGATGAACACAAAGGCCATGGTTTGCACAGAGGCTAAAGAAGGCAGGGGAGATATAAAATGTGAAAGTCACTACCATGGCTCACGAGAGAGAGGGTCCTAGTCATCTGGCCTCCCAGTACACTTGGCAAGCACGCTTTGTAGTGATATCTGTAAGATGGGCTCATAATAATAAAAAGCTCTCAAAGTGCTCAGTAAGTGAAACCACAGTCCATTACAAGCTCAGCACAGTGCCTGGTCTATGCTAGATGCTCAATAAATACCACCATGTGCGGACCTATATATGCATATCCACACTCACACACACACACACACACACAAGAAAGTCGTTCAGAAATTTTATGGGAAAATGGAATTGAAAGATATGTTCATTTTGGTGCAAAAACAATTGAATTCATTGCACACAAGAGGTCTTCCAAAAGCTCATGAAAATGCATATTGAGAAAAAGTACTATGCAAGGATATACACACACATGCGTAATACACAAGCATAAAGGGGAGCTTCAAATGTTGGTGGAAAATGGAATTAAAATGTCATGCACATTTCCCATGACCCCTTTGGAGCCCCCTCCCATGTACATTATAGATCCTAACCAGGGGCTGGTTCTTGAGAGGAAACTGGGAGTTCCTCAGACCCTATCTGAGCCCGGGGCCACCCCCCATGGCAACGTGGCACAGCCAAGAGGCCCCACATCTGCACAGCACTTTAACATCTGCAGAGTGCATTCCCTTCCATTTTGCCCAGTTGAATCCCTGAAGCCCACGAAGCGCATGTTCCCACAGTTGGAGAGTGGCAAAGCCAAATAAACTCCATCTCGATTTCACCTGAGGCCTTTGGGATCTAAACCCTGTGCTCTGTCTGCAATGAAATGCTGCCTGAAGAAAAGTTCTGGCCCCCTTCTGTTCCTCCCCTGCTCCCACCCCACTCCCACCCCCAACAGCGACTTCAAAGGGACAATATTTGAAAAATAGCGAGACTTCGTTATGCTGCTTTCCATTCAGGCTGTGTGTGTCTCTCTCAAGCCTCCCGGCGTGTCCAACCCAGGACGTGACTGGCTTTGGGTTGTTTCAGTCCCTGTTCTGGGCTCCATCTGCCCTGGCACAGAAGGCTGGGCCTGCTTCTCATTGTAACAAGGTTGCACTAATTAACTGTGTTTGATTTTGCATATGGAGAGAGAATGCAAATGAATGCAAAGCAGTATGCAAATCAGCAACATCCTGGCTCTCCCAAAGAACCAGCCTGCAAGACTGATGTCAATGACAATGTATATTAATAGCCCATCTTAGGAAGGCATGCGATTTTTTTTTTTTTTTCAAAAGAGCCAGGCATCAGGGTTTTTCTTTTTCTTTTTTTTTTTCCTGGAATAATAGTGACTTTAGATTGAATTCCAAGTTTATGATCCTTGACAAGAAGCCCATTGGCCACAATGCTATATTCTCTGTAGAAGACTCATGTAGGCAATGGGGTTTGCTGGAAAGAGCACAGAGTTAGGAATTGAACTATACAGTTGCAGTTCAAAATCTTGCTCTCTGCTTGGGCAAATTTGTTAACCTGAGTCTCAGTAACCAGCCTACTAAAGAGCCGTTGGTGAGGACTATGGGAGATAAGATTTGAAGCCAATTGAAGTACAGGCGGTGATCAGCCACCGTTCATCGCCTTCCTCATGCTCCTGCCTTCTCCCTACGAGGAACTAAATGGGCAAATAAAGGAGGAAGGAGGAGGCTCAGCTTCTCTTCCTTGCTTGAGCTGCCCGGCTTGTCGTTCCGCTAACTGTGTCTTTCTTGTACAGCGCTCTGAGAGCAACCCGCAGCCCAGTCCCATTGCATGAGGAACTAGAGGACTTCTGCCAGGAGAGAGAAAAGGACTCCGTCCCACTCCCTAGCTGTTCTTCCAAGGCCTCCTCCATCATCCCCCCTTCCCTGTGTGGTGCATGTACGTGTGTTTACCTGTGACGAACACACCTGGAAGTAGGACCAAAACCTTCGAAATACAGGAAAGCCTGAACTTGGGTGCCTGACACCCAATCCCGGCTTAGAGCAGACAAAAGCCACAAAGACACAGATCTACTCCAAGGCAGAGGCCTCACCCCAGGCTAGCTGTGTGAGCACAGGGCGCTGCGTTTAGGGTACTGAGCTGCCCAGCCTCATCCACGCAGAGCTGAACACCTTAATGTTCTGACCCGGTGTCAGAGATCCCTGTTCCGCAGCTGGAGCCTGTGTCCTGACACAGCACACTAAGGGGCTGCTCAAGCTGCCCGCTCACCCACCCATGGGCAATAGCACACACGCACTCACAGGGAGCAAATGTGGTCTCTTAAAGGAGCCGCAACTTCCTATTTGTTCGAAGCACCCAGACGCTGCTCTCAGTGGTCACTGGCACTTCTGAAGCCCCACAAGTTTGGTACAAAGTGGCCCCAGAGGGGCCGCACCCCCTCCACCTGGCCCAGCCTACACAGGGCCTGCTAGCACCGGCCTCAACAACAGGGGATCCCCTTATGCCTTTTGGAGGCTTTTAGGAGCTGCTCCATACACTTCAGGCCTAGAAGGCAGAGACATGTTGTAGACTCACAGGAAGCAATCTATTTGTACACTCCCCCCCACAACCCTGCCCCGTACTATCTGGGGCAGCTCCTGGGAGGGTTGTTGTCATTTTGCAGGTGAAGAAAGTGAGAGGTGAAACGAGGTGCCTAAGGTTGCACAGATGCACAGCCTTAGGACCCAGATTGAAGCAACCGAGCGGGCTCTCACCCCTGCTCTGAGCTCTTTGAGAAACAAGAAACAGCCCAAAGGCCAAGAGGACATTTCTCAGTGCTCAGAGGAGTCTGAGAACACTTCCAGCAGGGCAGGAGAAGTAGAAGCTTGGCCTTGGGACAGAGATGTAGTGGAAGGAGGAGAACTCAAGAAAAACTGAGGGGAAATAAAGGAGAGAGAGAGAGGGAGAGAGAGAGAAGGAGAGAGAGAATTGTCAAACAAGGAAAACAGGGAGGAAGAAGGAAAGATGGCAGGGAGGAAGGGCAACCAAGCAACCTTACAGGGAAGAGTGTGTTCTCCATGGAAACAAAGGTGCCTGTTTGCCTTGGGATGCCACCAAAGAGGAAAATTGTAAATCACTTTCCAAGCAGGAGGCAGGATGATTGCCCTGGCTTTGACAGCTGTATTTGGAAAAACACTCCTATCACTCACCAGAGCCCTGTGGCTGCCCCCTATGCCAGGTGCTGGGGTGGGGGAGGGGGCTATTAAAGAAAAGACCTGCCTCACTCACGCTGCTGTACTTCAACATGCCTTTTAGGCCAACATGTTGCAGAGAGCATTGGCGCCTTTTCCCTCAACTTCAACTGTAAGGAATAGGAAGGAGGGAGACACCGAGGGAGGGAGGGACCAATGAACACAGAGGTTTGGGAAAACGTATCTGCCTGCCATGGTCCCAGAAAAGGTCTTTTATCCAGGCCCAGATGCTGGAGGTGGACAGATTGAGTCTGAAACGCAACAGCCCCTGTCCAAGTAACAGGGCCTGGGAAACCACTTAAGCTCTGGCCCTCTCCTCTGGGTGTGAAAGGAGATTTGCCCAGGCTCTCATGGTGAGGTTGCAAGGACTTAAATTATACAAATGACTTCTGCAAAAGAACTTGGCATAGGGTCAGGTGCCAGGCAAGCCTGATTAACACTCGTTTCCCTCCCTCCCCACTTCTGCTGCTACACAGCTCATCTAGCTTATCTTTGAGGTCACTTTCTACAGTTTCAGTTGCTTGAGATGAACTGTGATCCAAAAAAAATATGTTAAATGGAAAATTCCAGAATATTTAATTCATAAGTTTAATTGCATGTCATTCTAAGTAGATTTCACGCCATATTGTCCTGCTCCATCCTGAGTTTCCCCTACGTTCAATGTATCCACAGTGTATTTGTTACCCACAAGGTAGTCGCTTAGTAGCCGTCTTGGTTATCAGAATGACCAATAGAGCACACAGTGCTTGCATTCCTTGTTTTACTTACTAATAGCCCCGTGGGCTGGGGTTGTGGTGCAGCTGGTTAGACCACTCCCTGTGATGCCGGCAACCGTGGCATCACATGAGGACAGGTTTGTGTGCTGACTGCTCAACTTCCAATCCCGTGAAGCAGCAGCCCACGCACTTGGCCATCTTCTGCTGCCTTCCCAACTGGATCAGGAATCCACGATGTCGGCCTCAGGAACTACTCTCTTTAGTGTCTATTGCTACATAATAAATTACTCTAAAATGGGTGGATTAAAACAATAGGCATTGTTTTGATGATTCAGGAGCGTGAGAGTGGCTTGCTTAGGTCTCTCACGAGGTAGCAGGGTATTGGCTGCAGCCATGGTGCTGAGGGCTGCACTGGGGCTGCAGGGTCCATTTCCAGCAAGACTCGTCGCAGGGCTGCTGCCAGAAAACCTTCCTTCCCAGAGGCAACTTCCGTCCTCCTTGAAGGTTTCTCATTCCCTTAAACACCCTTGTTCCTGCTGCTCAGGGACAACACACTCATGTACTCCAAACAGTCTGGAGGGAAATGGAATTAAGAGGTGTGAGTTTATTTTGGTGCAAAGAATTTTGAAATCCGTGCACAGTTTTCCATAATACACACTAGAACTTTCTGAAGAGCTCATATGTTCTGGTTGCTCTCTGCTTGCCCTCTACACCTACCCAGATCCGTTTCTGTACCCAAGAAGCCAGACCCCAACAGAAGACATCTCTCCCACTCTGGCTTTCTTCCCCCGCTCCACCGCTTCCATGGCTCTGAAGATCTGTGGTTCTGGGGCCTGCCTGAGAGCCCGTCCTTTGTGGCTGTACTTACTCCTTCAGGTAATTCACATCCTGCTAGTTCCTGGAGGCCTCAGAACGTCTTGTTGGCCCCTTAACTCTTGTATGTTGACTGTGTACTCCTAACCAACCACCTCAAGGTCTGTTCACAGTTCTGCAGATTGGTGATTTCAGCTGGGCTCAGCTAGGCAGTTCTGCTTAACGTGGTGTTGATTGGCTCATTTGTACAGTTACCGGCTATTAACATCACCCCGAGTAGTGCTGGCTGATGGTTGTTGGGTCTTTCTCTTCTCCAAAAGGCCTCTAGCAGGCTAACACATCATCTTTGCATGATGTCAGAAACATTACAAGAGGGTAAGGACAGAATTTGAAAGGCCTCTGGAATTCACCCCCAAGTAAAACAAGTCACAAACCCAGCACAGATTAAAAGGAATTGGAAAAATTGATTCCACATTTGGAGGGAAGGAGCAGCAAAGGGGGAATGCACAATGGGCTGGGAGGAATATGTGGCCATCAAATAACCAGCCACCCCTGCCAGCCTTATAAATGACCCCTTCTTTTCTGTCTCTTTAGAATTCCATCTGATTGTGCTGTCCGCTTCCTACTGGGCTCCAACTGGCACATTATTTGTGGTATCATACTATACTATCCTCCTTCAGACTGCTTGTTGTGCTTAGCATCAGGATTCTGAGAGTCATCCATATTTCCCACATGTGCCATGGTTCATATAGATGTACTCCTCTGTAAGACTCTCTGTGTGCATTTAGTGCTTATTCTCCTGCGCATGGACATTTGCTTGGGCTGTTTTTCTATTACAAATACCACATCTCTCCTTTGCACATGAGCGTTCTCTAGGGAGTATAATTAGGAGCAAAGCTGCTGTCGTGTGACAATGCCAAATAACTTTCCAAAGCTCATATAGTCTTAAATAAAATAAACAGAATTGAGAGCTGAACTACATTGAAAAACTGGACTCACTTTACATCATGCAACTGTGTGTTGTGAAGAACTGTAGCAATATCTGGTTAGAACGAACCCCCCACCAAATCTAACAATCTCTTCCACAGTTCCTAGGAGATGGTCAAACCACCTTTTCTGGAACTCTTAGAAATCCAAAAAGATAGCTTATACTGTAATGGTCCCTCTGTGGTACAAGAACAATTATGAAAAAATAATAATGATCCTTTCTTTTTGTGCTGCTGTTGAGTGTGCATTAGCCTCCTGGGATGTGTGGTGAAAGGGAAAAGGAACAGGAGGTGAAGGGGGCAGGGTGAGCTGGGGGTAGATCCCAGGATGTTTCAGACCTGCTAGGAACCTCTGCTCTGAGGGCAGTGGGAAACACTGAATGAAAACAGGCAGGACAGAAGCACACCCAGATTTCGTTTTCAGAAAGCCATTCAATCCGGAGTGTTTGGAAGAGGGAAAGGTTACAGCGACCCTGCAGGGAGAGCACAGTGCCCAGAGGAAGTGATACTAATGCTGGCGAGAGGAACTTGTCCCGCAACTGAGTCTGGAATCTGGACTAGAACTGGCACACGATACTCATCTGCCCTGCTAACATTGAGCATTTGTTTCTTCGTCAGTAAAACAGAGATAATAATAGGATCTATTGCAGAGCATTGGTATGGAGATAAAAGAGAGCTCAATGTCTGGCTCAAAGTGTGTGCCCAATACTTGTTAGCTTTCCTTATTTTGAAGAACTATTGACAGGACTTAGTGTTGGCAGTAGTTAGGGTGGGTTAAATTACTGTTTCCTGGAGATTCCAAAATGCACCACAGCTAAAACACAACAGAGTCTTAGTTCATATTCAGATGAGAGTTGAAGAGGAGTGTCTCTGTTTGGTAGACAGCTTCCTTCCGTATGGTGACTTAGAGCCCCAGGTCACTCCACTGTTACCTGAAACCTTGCTCTCTTCAAGGAAAGACAAAAGCCACCTCCACTTCCTAAAGCCCTACTCCTGGACCTGGGCACAGCACTCCTGTTCACTTTTTGGTGGTAAGGTCTACTTACATGCTACATCAAGAAGCAAGGGTTGCTGGGAAATGTAGTCCCTGACCAAGCAGTCTCTGCTGTATCCACCAGGGTTTCTCTCCCTCTGTATTACTGGCATTACCCACTGCAAAATTCTTTGTTGCTGGGCTGTTCTGTTCTGTATGATATCTGATGGCATCCCTGGCCTCTACCATACACACACACACACACACACACACACACCCTTGTCCTCCCAACAAGAGCAAGTTTAGACAATGAAAAACATATCCACACATCTTTTAGGAGACTTGGAGAGTGCTCAAACCATGCCCTGGATGAGAATCACTGATCTGCACAAAGGAAGAGAAGAGATTCTGGGAGCCATGTCTAAAGCAGGGAAAAAAAAAAACTCAAGCTATTCGCTTAGCTGAACTCCCAGTGCCTACTGGAAAAGGAGTTCCCTGAATGCACGCATCGTGATGCCCCATCCCTACAGCAGGACCTGACATCTAGGAGATGCTCAACAAACCATTGTTAACTGCGTGTGTTCTATCAAGGAGGCCAGCACTGACTGTTCAAACACATCTTGAGTGCTTTCCATGGACCAACTACTGCCTTAAACAGCACGTCCTCTCCCCTGTGGAGGAAATAGTAATAGTGATAATGACAGTGACATGATACACGCTGAGGTCCTCTGCAAGACAGAAATCACATGGGATCTGCCCTCCCTCACTTCCTTTCTAGAAGAGCTGAGCACCTGGCTCCTAGAGGAGAGAGGTAAAGTCCCAGCTCAGGCTGCTGCTCCCCACAGCTGCTGATGGGATTTTTCTGAAGGGCCCAGGATGCCTGGGTGTTGTAGACCTTCCCCTCGTCCAGGCCTGACATCAGGCCATTCACTCTCTGCGAGAAGACCTGATTATGCTATTGGCAAGAGCCTACAATTTCTTGTGCACTAAGTGAGGCCCCGTGGGGTTTTAATTCTCCCCTTCACTTTACAGACTCCTGTCTCATCTTTTAAGCATCTCCCCTCCTCCTGGTTCTGCCGTCTCTGTCAACACTACAGGGCAGGAGACGCAATGACATTAGGGTTGCCATGGATGAATCTAACGGCTGTATTGATTTCTCTGTTACATCTGCTCCCAAAGAGCCACTGAGAATCAGCTCCTAAGGGTCTGCCAGGATAAAAGGAGAGTAACATAAATGGACAATTTTTCCTTCAGGGAAATAATAACTACAAACAAATTAGCGTTAGAGCCCACACTCAGAAGCATTTATTATAAGAGACCATGAAATACAAGCACAGCGGTACAGGGCATGCAATGTGCAATACAGAAGAAATCAAATGGCAAAATAAGCTGAAAAGGAACCTAGAAGTTAAAGAGGCAGACATAGTCTCTAAGTAACGAAAAGATGCTCACTAGCTCTGTGAAATCAAAACCCCTAAGCTGCAATCTCCTTGCTTGTAACACAGAACTAATAATCCCTACCTAGTAGGATGATTGTAAAGAATAAGTGAGACGACAGGTGTGAAAATATCAAGGAACGCCTCTGTCACATATTAAAGTTTCAACTGGGGTTATTTCTGCCTCACAGGAGGAAGAAAAGTAGATACACATAGAACACACATGGCTTTAAGCATGACAGTTGACAAGAAGGATAAAAACTAGGATAATATCTCAAAAATCTTCTAAAAATAGTATTGAAAACAAAGAAGTCAGTAAAATCGCTTGCAGTTCCTCAGTGACATCAATAGACAGTGGCCCAGAGGGTCCCCTAAGGAGGTCACACGAGATGGAACCCAGACCCCGCCCTTCTGCAGCCCCACAACGGCACCCCCTCTGCAGGAAAGTCAGCCCCTAGGAGAGCGACGCTCCCATTCCTGCCAGCCTCAGGAATCAGCCACCGGCAATCACTGAAGGAGGTGCGATAGAGAGGAGGAAGGTGAATTATAGAGCCAGCTTGCAAATAAAAACCAGACCTTGGCTGCCAAAGAGAGGAGACAAATGCATGAAAGAAGAGCCGGGGAGACTGTTTTGGCCGAATGTTACCATCCGCACCATTAGACCGTGGGTCAAACATCAGATTCCAGATCTTCATATCGAGGATGTCAGCCAGTGTAGGAAAGCACCCTCCTCCTCCATCCTTGGTAGCAGGCATTCACGAAGGCACTGGGGTGAAGATGATGTGACAGACACTCTCTAGAGGACCAGCAAATGTGGGAAGTGTTGAGAGGCCTTTGGTGACCCTACAGTTAGACCAAGGAACACAACATCCTCCTGCATTATTCAGAGAGGAGCCCTTCCCATCATCTTACGTTTGGTCAAGCTGGACCAGGCAAAGAGTTCTGGCTCAGAAGGTGGTAAAATCCAGAAATGCTGATTGAAAGTAACCCTCCTGAACCCAGGCCCTGTGAAGAATATGAATCCAGAAATATTTGATTTTGTGCAAGGAAAACAGGAGTCCAGCGTGACCGAATACAACGCAGAAGTAAGCGGCATTCATGTATTCATTCAACAAATGTTCATGAAGCCCCCACTATGTGTCAGTCCAGTTAATAGAAACTGAGTTCTGAGCAATAAATCCAGGGGAAGGGGATGTATTTTGTGCTCTCAAGTTGTTCTTAGAGTTACAGAAAAATAAACATAGCTTCAAAACCACAGTGGTCAACCCAGTGGGAAGGGACTGGAAGGGGTGGCTGAGATGAGTCTACACCAAGAACGGGAGTGAGCTCAGCAAAGACTTGGCGGAATGAATGAATGAATCAGAGTGAGTGAGTGAACAGGTGAGACAGGAACCTGTCAGCAGATGGCTCATCTAATGCAGACACAAAGGGGCATATGAGGCCACCACAACAGTAAGCAAGCAAGTAAGTTGGTACAGCAGGTGTGTGTTATAGTAACAAGGCAATAAAAAGGGAATGATAACAGAAGAGTAGCTGGCATTTCTTGAGTATTTGCCATGTAGCTGGTGCCGTTTGAAGGTTTTTATTTATTTGAAAGGCTGAGTTACACACACAGAGAGACAAAGAGAGAGAGAGAGGTCTTCCATCCACTGGTTCACTCCCCAAATGTCCACAATGACTAAAGCTGGGCCAGGCCAGGCTTAAGCCAGGAGCTTTTCTCATGTGGATGCAAGGGCCCAAGCATTTGGATCATCCTCCACTGCTCTCCCAGGTGCATTAGTAGGGAGCTGGGATCGGTAGTGGAGTAGCTAGGACTTAAACTCGCATCTATATGGGATGCCAGCACCATGGAAGACAGTTTTACCCACTACACTACAGATCCAGCCCCCTGAAGGGCTTTACATTTATTATTTCATCAAATTTGCACAGCATGATGACCCCACTTTACAAACAAGAAAACTGTGGCATAATCAGCTAACAATTTGTCCAAAGTCATACATTCCACAAGTGGCAGACATGGGATTCAAACTAACGCCCCAGAGTGCCCGCATCACCTCTGGGTCTTGGGGAGTGGGGAAGGTTGCAGGTCTCAAGAAGACTCTGAACTCAACCTTGCAGGCAGTGAGGCGGCCAGGAAAGGGTGCCACACAGTCTTGTTCTTGAAGTCCTCTCAGTCTATAAGGAGAGACAGCATGAGTCTACACAGGCCTGTGACAGGAGGCATGTCTATGCTCTGAACCAGAATAAGGGTAAGATGAATATTTATTTGACTGATTGATGAAGGCTTCACGGAGCTGGTGTCATTTGTGTGTAGTCTCTGGAGGGAAGAGAAGGAATTCAGGCAGATGTCACAGCATATGCCAAAGCATGAAAGCTGGAAACCACAGATGTGCAAGGCCCCTGGGTGTGCAGCAGCCTGAGAAGCAGGACAGGAGCGGCAGGAAGAACCTATTTTCTGCTCAGAGCTTATCTGTGGCTTGGAGTCCAGAGCCTGACGGCTCCTCAAATACTGGACATGGGGTCCAGCAATGTATCAGATGTTGAGGGTGCAAACTGTGCAAGAATCCTCTGCACATACACTGGGAACCTCCAAAGTGCTGCAGCTGCTAAGCTGAGTACCGGTACCCCTAAGAGGGCTGAGGCTGCTGGCAGGAGAAGGAGCTGAAGAACTTAAGAAATATCTCTTTCCTCTTCTCCTTTCTCAGTTCCACACACACACACACACACACACACATTTCTTTAACCCTGGCTAGAATGAAAAAACTCACTGAAAACACCTAGACCAGACAAAGTCCCACCTGAACTCAAATTCCAGTGTGTGCCCATCATACCACGTCTTTCTCCCGGGAAGGCTCCATGGCTCAGCCTCCTTTGCTGTTAGTCTGGGGTCATGAGACTGAGTTTCTTCTCCCGGAAGAAGAAAGTCTTCCCAGCACACCCCTCTGACTTCTCTTTTCCCTATTGTGGGGACTTTGGGAGACCAGACGCTCCAAATAGTAGGGCTGTAGTAAGGAGGACCATCCAACCTGAAAGGATGGCAACCTGATCAACACATTTGATGTGTCTATTAAAAATGGAAACTTCAAACTTTAGGGGTTCTTTCCTGTTGCATCATTGAGTCTCCCTTGGTTCAAATGCTTGGTGCTCAATCCAGAACTGCCACCCTCTCCTGGAATTTTTTGGAATTTGTTTGAAATGGGAATTCTTTTTTTTTTTTTTTTATAAGCACAGTTAGATAGTGAGAGAGACAGAGAAAAAGGTCTTCCTTCCATTGGTTCACCCCCTAGATGGCTGCTACGGCTGGTGCGCCACACCGATCTGAAGCCAGGAGCCAGGTGCCCACTCCTGGTTTCCCATGCAGGTACAGGGCCCAAGGACTTGGGCCATCCTCCACTGCCCTCCCGGGCCACAGCTGAAAGCTGGACTGAAAAAGGAGCAACTGGGACGAGAACCCAGCACCCTTATGGGATGCCAACGCTGCAGGAGGAGGATTAGCCAAGTGAGCCACAGCACCAGCTCCTGAAATGGGAATTCTTAAGCTTGACCCTAAAACTACTGAATCAGAAACTATGCACAAACACCAAAAGTGATTTACAAGTGATTATGAAACAGCCATCAGCTGAGAAAATTTGGCTGACTAGGATAAGCTACTAGGAGGTTGCTACACTCTTGACCCCTAGTTCTCTCCCTTTGCAAAGGTCACAGGAGGGTTAGGTGATACTGCATGATGGAAGGCGTACAAACAATCTGGCCTGGCAGCTGATACACAGTAAATGTTAGTTCTTAATACATGTTAATTCCCTTCTTGCAGCCAGGGGTCGGATGCCTTGGTGAGGTTCAGGTCTCCTGGCACTGTGTTAGTAGGCAACGGCTACAATGACTTCAGTGGTTGCTGTCCCTAAGGATTCAAGCACTTGTGTAATCCCTTCCTCTCGAGTGTGTGCTGGACTGTGACGTCACTGCTAATAAACAGAACAGGCTCCCTCTGGAAGTTCCAGGGAAGAACCATCTGCCTCTTCCAGCCTGCAGGGGCTCCAAGCTTTCCCTGGCCTGTGTGTGGATGCACAACTTCAATCACAGCCTCCTCTTCACCGGACCCTCTTTTCTTGCTGTCTTTCCTCTTCTGTCTCTTAGAAGGACATTTATCCAGAGGGCATTGTCACCAGGGTAGGGCTTCCCAGGCCATCCAGGGTGACCTCAGCCCAAGATCCTTAATCACACCTGCAGACATCCTTTTTTCCAACTGAGGTCCGATGGACAGGTTGTAGGATGTGGACATTTCTTTTGGTGGCCACCAAGACAGGGACAGATCTTATTCAAGACTATATTCCCCTGTCCAATGCCCGTCTTGCAGTGCATGGCACAAAGTAGGAATCTGGCTCAAGGTTTTGAATAGAAAGGCAGCAGTGCATAACAGTTAAGCAGCAGGTTTTAGAATTAGCTAAACCCTATTCAAACCTCAACCACTTACAAACGATGTGACGTTAGGCAAATCACTTGAGCTCTCTGAACCTCAGAGAGTGGTGCTCCAGTGGACATTTTAATAACACCTATCTCGTAGAGGGTATTAGGAGGACTGAGCTAATAAGTGCAAAGTCACCTACACTGTGTCTGGCACCTACTCGGGCCACCAAGCATGGGCATCACCTGGCACGCTGTGGCTACCCAGAAAGGCTTTTTATTCCACTCACATTATTTCTGCTCCCCCATTACCTCACAGCCCTTTGCTGTGACTGTCATGGGGGCCCCAACTCCTGCTCAGAGAGGAGAGAGGGAGGGGAAGTCCCTGGGGGCACCTAACAGCCCTTCTTTGAGCCAGCTGTGGACAACGCATCCCTGCACAGCACCCCCGCCACTGCACCTCCCCCCATCCTGGCTCCTGTCCTTTAGTGATGCCTCCCAGAGCAGCGCTGGCAGTGAGCAAGCCTGGGCCCCTCATTGTTATTCCTGGCACGAGGTGATCCCGCCAGCATCCTCAGAGCCCTGTCAAAATGCCCGCAGTTTGTCTTTGCTCAGAGCAGCTCCAAGCCACATGGCATCCTCCGGAGAAGAGCGTGCTCCCAACCAGGTCTGGGAGCCGGCGACTTCCCAGGATGGTCTGGTATGTGCGAGACACAGGCAGCGAGTGTGAACTGAAATAACCCAGCCGGGCACTGCCTTGAGGACCACACGCCTTCAGGCCGCCAGAGATGTAGGAGGTTTTGTGCACAGAAAGACGCTTTCTGGGATTTTTCTGGATGTCCATGCTCTAACAAAGCAAAGGGGGCTACATCCCACTCCTGCCACTGGGGAGCTGTGTGACCAGGGGCATTTCCTTTATTTCAAAGGCAGAGTTACAGAGAGAGAGAGAGAGAGAGAGAGAGAGAGAGAGAGAGAGAGAGATCTTCTATTCACCAGTTCACTCTCCAAATGGTCGCAACCACTGCAGCTGTGCAGAGCTGAAGCCAGGAGCCAGGAGCTTCTTCCAGGTCTCCCACATGGATGCAGGAGGCCCAAGCACTTGGGCCATCCTCTGCTGCTTTCCCAGGCCGTTAGCAGGGCACTGGATCGGAAGTAGAGCAGCCAGGACTTGAACAGGCACCCATATGGCATGTTGGCACCACAGGCAGTGACTTTACCTGCTGCACCACGGCGCCAGCCCCGACTATGGGCATTTTGCGTAAACAACTGTGCTTTGGTTTTGTCTTTTATGAGATAAGCTGGGGATAATAATATCTACTGCACAGTATTGCTGGGGAATTTAAAAGGGTAGTACAGGTACAGATTGGAAGAAAATTTTTGTAGCACATATGTTTGACAAGGAACCTGTACCCACAATATGTAAAGAACTCTTCCAACTCCATAATAAAAGACAGGGACCAGTGATGTGGTCCAATGTGTTAAGCCACCGCCTGTGACGCCAGTATCCCATACTGCAGTGTTTGTTCTAGATCTGGATGCTCCACTTCCAATGCAGCTTCATTCTAATGAGCCTGGCTCGTTCTAATGAGCCTAGCATAGTGGGTGATGGCCCAAGTACTTGGGCCCCTGCGATCCATGTGGGAAACTAAGATATGGCTTCTGGCTCCTGACTGCACCGTGGCCCAGATGTGGCTGGTATGACCCTATGGGTAATGAACCAGCAGATGGAAGGTACCTGTGTGGGTGTGGGTGTGGGTGTGTGTGTCTGTTTGTCTTTCCTCTCTCTGTTGTCTGCCTTTCAAATAAATAAGTCTTAAAAGATAACAAAAGGCAAATTACCATCCCACCAAGAGTGGAAAAGACTTGAACAGACACTTCACAACAGAAATCACATGAAAAAGTCCTCAATGCCAGGAGTCATCAGAAAATGCAAATTACAACCAAAATTAAATACTACTTCACACCCACTAGAATGGCCAAAATCAAAAAGACTGTCGGTACCAAGTGCTGACGAGGCTGTGGAACTCTCCTGCGCTCCTGCTGGGAGTAAAAATTGATATATGCACCACTTGGGAGAACTGCTTGGCAGTTATACAGCTAAAAAAGACACTCAGCATAGGACCTAACAGCTCCACTTCTAGGTACTTCCCACAACCACATATCCATAAAAAGTCTGGTTCATAAAAGCTCACAGCAGCCTTACTCATCCTCACCACAGACTGAGGACAACCCAAACGTCCGCCAGGAGACAGAAGGATAGAGTGCAGGTGAGGTGTGGACGCTGTGGTGTAGCGAGTAAAGCTGCCGCCTTCAGGGCTGGCATCCCATATGTGTGCCAGTTCAAGTCCCAGCTGCTCCACTTCTGATATTGGCTATGGCCTGGGAAAGCAGTAGAAGATGGCTCAAGTCCTTGGGTCCTTGAACCCATGTGGGAGACCTGGAAGAAGCTCCTGACTCCTGGCTTCGGATCAGCACAGCTCCAGCCGATACGGACATCTGGGGAGTGAACCAGTGGATGGAAAACCTCTCTCTCTGTCTCTACCTCTCTTTGTAACTCTGTCTTTCAAATTAATACATAAGTCTTAAACAACAACAACAAAAAGGAGTGCAGGTGTCTGACAGTGGAATACAGAACAGCAACCAAGAAGGGCCTCTGAGATGCACAACGGCCTGTGAGAACCTCTAGTCACCAGGCCCAGTGAAGAAAGCCAGACATAACGAACAAAAATTATCCCAGCTCCAAGAAGTTCTAGAATGGAGACAACAGATGAAAGAAAGCAGTAACTGTGGTGGATGCCTTTGTGTGAGGGCAGGTAGGAGGGAAGGCAAACTCTCCGGGGTGATGGAGATGTCTTGGCGTCCTGTCTCTGGGGTGATGGGACATGGGTAGGATGTATTTGTGAAACTCACCTACTTCTGTACTTAAGATCTCTGCATTTTCTATGAACACTTATTTATTTATATGAAAGAGAGAGAGAGAGAGAGAGAGAGAGAGAGAGAGAGAAAATGTTCTATCTGCTGGTTCACTCCCCAAATGGCCTCCACTGCTCCAGGCTGAATTCAGGAACCTAGAATTTCATCTGGCTCTGTCACATTGATCTCAGGGGCCCAAGTACTTGGGCCATCCTTGGCTGCCCTCCCAGGTGCATTAGCAGGGAGCTAGATCAGAAGCAGAGCAGCTGGTTCTTGAACTAGTGCTCCAATATGGGACACTGGTGTTGCCCATCTGGCTTAGCACAGTGCGCCACAGTGCTGCCCTCCCTCTTTATAATTCCTTGTGTGCAAATGATATCCCAGAAAAACAGCAAAGAGCTAACAGGGAGAGTGTATGAAGAGGGCAGAGTGAGAGACCGAGCTGTTAAAACTCAGTAAATGTCAGCAGCTATTAGAAAACGGCAGAAACAAGTAAGTAAGAAGTGGCTCCGATGGATGCGAGAGTACAGAGCACTGATCCCCACTCTCACCAGTCAGGCGCCTCTCCAAGAAGTGGCAAAACTCACCTGAAAAAAGGGAAACACAGCCCCAGACTGCTGCACCCGCCCCTGCTCTTCTGCTGGAAATGGAAAAACAGACACAGATCTGGGAGGAGCGGCAGGTCGGGAGGGCGATTCTGGGGCAGCACTGACATTGGGACTTACAAACCACAAAGAAGCGAGGGAGCCTCTGTGGTTCCACAGTGCAGCCTGCTGCATCTCAGGGTGTCAAAGTGCCCCAGCAGCTGTGGACAGGAAGCTAGCGGGCTCCAGAAGATAGGACAGTCTCCAAGACTCAAGAATGAGGCTGGGGCCAAACTGTCCCCCACCTTCCTGTCCAATGTCAGGCCACCGTTTTCCTATTTGGCCTTCCCCAGCAGACTTCTCCTTCAGTCTTCAGCCCTTCTGGAATGTTCCATCCTCACCATGTGCTGTGGTCTGCATGGAAGCAGAAAACATGGCTCCGAGCAGAGCCCATGGTCCATTCCCTTTGTGCTGAGGCTCCTCACAGACTCGGATGTGTGTGGTTTGTGGGACCGACTTCCACCTGCTGCTTCCCCCTGCTCTTGGTGGGGAGCTTCCTCTATTTCCCATGGCACAGAGCCAGTGAGGCCTCCTCCCACTTCCCTCTCTGTGGTTCTGCGCTGCCAGGCTGGGATCTTCCATTCCTCAGGCTGTGCAAAGTCTGCTCTCAGTGGGGAGCTGCTGAGACCTCTCCCGGCCTCCTGCTGGCCTGATGGTCCCTCTTACAGACCGCAGCCTGGCTCCAGCACTTGCCGGCCATGCGGAGATGTCCGCATTTGCAAAAGTGATAGCCCACAGCGTATTTTAAAGACAACTCGCTGTGTCTTAGCATCCAGCCACAGAAGAAGGAAAAAACGAGATTCCCCCACAGCAAACAAGGCTATGGTTGCGGTCCACATTTTGGTTGCAAATCTTAGCGAGACCTTAGGATATTTGGGAGATGACCTCATTGTAGGAAGTGGCAAAGTGCCACCTTTCTAGCCTTCGTCAAAAGGCTTTGTCACCATCTGTGACTCAAAATTGAACAAAATGCACTAAACAACTAAACCTGCAAGAGAGTTTGGCTACATAGGACAGGACTTCAAAAACTCAAGATGGGATGTGAGCATCACCAGTGGTGGTTAAACACACATTCCAACAATGTCAGCCCCAGTCAAGTTCTTTCTTTCAAACAAGAGTTGTACTGGCGAGGCACTAAGATGGCAGAACAGGGAGGGAGCTTACTGCTAGGGGAAGAGAGTTAAAATAAAAATGGAGAGAGTGCAATCTCAGGGGAGAGTCAGGGAGAAAACAGCAGAGGAAATTCTATGCAAATTAGAGGGACACTGTGGATCTACTTGGAGGATGCAGACATGCACAACTCAGGCACCCAGCCACAGAGAGCCTCAGCACCAGCTTTGGAGAGATGAGACCAGACTGCAGCAGTGCCACACCCAGCACATACTTCAGGGTATTCACTGAAAGAGCAGATACTCCACTAAGCCACAGAGTCACAGTCCAAAGATAAGTTATCACACGGAAAAAAAAAATGCCCACAGGTAACTCCACAAATGCCTGAAAATAAACACATCACTTCAAGAAACAAGAATAAGGAAGACAACACGATGCCCCCAAAGGAACACAACAACACTTCAATACTAGAATTTGAAAATGAAGAAGCTAAAGAAATGCCAGAAATGGAATTCAAGAAATTGACATGAATGAAAATTTTTCTCATGAAATTGAGATTTTAAAGAGAAATTAAGATGAAATATTGGAAATGAAGAATTCAATAGAACAAATAAAAAATGTGACGGAAATCCCTAACAACAAAACCAGTGAGGCAGAAGAAAGAATAACTGAGTTAGAAGACAAACCTCTGGAAAGTTTACAGTCAGATAAAAAAAAAAAGAAGAAGAAATTAGAAAACTAAAAAACAGTGTTGGAGACCTCTGGGATATCAACAAATGACCTAGGATACAGATCTCAGGAGTTCCTGAAGGTGTAGAAAGAGAAAAGGAATAATTTTTAGTGAAATAATTAAAGAAAACTTCCCTAATTTGGAGAAAGAAAGGGACGTCCAAGAACAGGAAGCACATAGAATTCCTAATAGACATGACCAGAAAAGATCTTCACCATGACAAACTGCAGTCAACCTCGCCACAGTAAAACATAAAGAAAAGATTCTAACATGTGCATGAGAAAAATGTCAGATTATATTCAGAGGATCTCCAATCAGACTCACAGCTGACTTCTCATCAGAAATCCTTCAGGCTAGGAGAGAATATTCTAAGATATTCTCCAAAGGATATATTCCAAGTCTTAAGAGAAAAAAAAGCTGTCAGTCCAGAATACTGTACCCTGCAAAGATCTCATTTACAAATGAAGGTGAAATAAAGACCTTCCATAACAAATAGAAGTTGAAAGAATCTGTCACCACCTGTCCAGCCTTACAAAAGATGGTTAAGGATGTGCTACACACAGAAACATACTCATCGCTATGAAAGAACAGAAAGGCAGAAAATCTCCAGAACAAGTAAAAAGGAAATTGAAAGCAAAAAATAGCAATATTTATGGGAAAATAGCAGGGCTAAGAAGTTGCTTATCAATAGTCACCTTGAATGTAAACAGTCTCAACTCTCCAGTTAAAAGATACAGACTGCCTGAATGAAAAAAAAAAAAAAAAAACTATTTGCTGTCTACAAGAAACACATCTCGCCAACAAAGATACATGGAGACTGAAAGTGAAAGGTTGGAAAAAGACATTCCATGCTAACAGAAACCAAAAAAGATCTGGCGTAGTCATCCTAATATCAGACAAAATAGACTAACACAAAAACTGTTAAAAGAGACAAAGAAGGGCACTATGCAATGATTTAGGGAACAATTCAACAGAAAGATGTGACTATAACAAATGTATGTGCTCCTAATTACAGAGCACCTGGCAATTTAAAGAAATGCTAAGGGATATAAAGGGAGACACAGACTCCCATATAATAGTAATGAGGGACTTCAACACCCACTTCCAGAAATGGACAGATCAACCAGACAATCAACAAGGAAACAACAGAGTTAACTGACACTACAGACCAAATGGACCTAACAGATATCTACAGAACTTTCCATATTACGGTTGCAGAGTACACATATTCTCACCAATGCATGAAACTTTCTCTAGGATAGACCATACTAGACCATAAAGCAAGTTTCAGCAAATTAAAAAAAATATCATACCGTGCATCTTCTTGACCATAGTGGAATGAAGCTGGAAATTAACAACTCAGAAATCTCTAGAACATGTTCAAACACCTGGAGACTGAACAGCATGCTCCTGAATGAACAGTGGGTCATGGAAGACATCAAAAGGAAAATCAAAAAACTGTTGAGGAACAGTTGGGTTTTTTTTTTTTCATACTATTTGTTGAACTCTTAGTATAATCTTCTGTGTATGAAGGTAATTGAAAATAGTCCTTAGTAAAAAATAAGAATGGGAATAGGAGAGGGAGGAGGAAGAAGGGTGGGAGTTGGGGTGGGAGGGTGGGTACGGTGAGAAGAATCACTATCACTATGTTCCTAAAGCTGTATTTATGAAATTCATGAAGTCTGTATTCCTTAAATAAAGGGTTCTGGTGTGTGTGTGGAGGGGGGGACTCCATGGAAAATTGGAATTAGATGACAATTATTTTGTTGTGAATTTGATTTTGAAATCTACATAGTTTTGTCATGCATATGCACCATCCATGAACTTTGTGAAGCCCCCCTGTAAACTGCACGGTCCTGTGCATGGTGAAATGCTTGTTCAGAGAGAGGGAAAGGGGATTTTTCCTGAGGCCCGAGACCTCCGTCTTGACGTGGCATGGTGGTTCTTCACTGGCTGTCTATGGTTGCGCTCTCTCGGGTTCAGCCATGTGAGGAGGGTGAGTGCAGCCCTTCGCAGATGCTCTGGGCCCTGCCCCACGGCAGGAAGGTGAGGACTGTCAGGGCTCTGTCCGGGGCGCTGCCAGCAGCCGAGGCCAGGTGCTCAGGATGGCCAGAGGCAATGGAGTCCCTTGCAGGGGCAGGAGAATGGGTGGCCTGGAACCCATCTGGGGAGACAAGAAGGTGACAAAAGCAGGACTTCACTTACAACCACAGACTCAAAGCAAAATAATTCAGAATTTAGAGAACTCCAAGGTGGCAACTATGGACCCCAAACACACAGCTGCCTTACTTTTGAAGGTCAGTGTAACTGAAGGCTCAGAACCTGCCTGTAATTGTCCTGCCAACTTGGGTTCAAGCCCTGGCATCTGCCTTGGTCCAGGCTACCGATCTGTAAAAGGTGGAACAGAAACAACAGCCCCTGGTCGGTCAGGTGGCCAGTAACCATGGCAACTCAGATGGCACCTGCCATGTGTCCCACATGGGTTGTGTCCTTTGCAGAAAGACAGGGTTCACTCTCACCGCAGGCCGAGAGATAGGCTGGCACTAAGCCCACTGGACGAGGCACGGAGAAGTGCAGCACCGCACCTGGCCGCACACAGCCCTGCATGGTCCAGGGGCACAGCCGGGATCTGAGCCCGTGTGCCTAGCGGAGCCCAGGGGCTCTGCAATGTGAAGTGCCCAGCGATCGAGCAGGGCTTACAGGCCCCTCTAATGAAGCCTCACTGTGAGCCCTAACTCAGTTTTAGTAAGGAAGATGTGCAAGCTCACGTAAGGAGCCAGCCTAAGAGACCCCAGCAGGACAGGCTCCAGGAGGGGAGAGGCTGAGGAGTGACGGGGAAGTCAGGGTCCCTGACTTGGGCTCTGGATGCGGGCCACGGCCCAGATACACCTGGAAGTCTGAGTGCGCAGGGTATGGAAGAAGTGGCCGCTGTCACCCCAGGATGTTCACATTCTAGATTGTCAGGGCAAGGTGACAGCAGAGGGGCTGAATCTCAGTCCTAATTTCACACCTGGGGAAACTGAGGCTGGAGAGGGGAGACGACCAGCCTCGTGTCCATCATTCAGACAGCACAGCCCCAGGGAGCAGGTGATTACAGGATGGTGTGCTTCTGGGGTCCGCAGAGGGAGGAGGACCCACACAGCCATCAATCAGCCATCAGCCCATCCTTATAATGCAGCCCTACAGTACTTTCCGGTTTGTGAATGCTTTGTGTGTGTGCGTGTTTTGGTTATGAATTTTATGAATAAGCATTGGCATTAGAGTCTGGCAGATGTGTGTGTCAACACGACTTGACTACTCCCTGACTGTGTGACCTGAAGGAAATGACTTAACCTCTCTGAGCTTGCTTCTTCATCAGTAGAATGGCTCCAAAGACAGATGCCTTCACGGAGAACATAAACTTTGGAATAGTGTAGACGGAAAGGCAGTGAGGGAGTGCCGAACTGCCTAGTGCAACAGCCGTCCCTCAGCAGGTGATCAGGAATGGCCAGCAGAGGCCAAACCTACACAGCAGGTGGCTGTCTGGGGAGAGATCACTTTTAGAAGCACTTGCTGGCACTCTCCAGACTTTTCTGTCTAAAACCCAAGGCGGGGAGGAACAGCAGGATCTGGGGAGCCGTGCAAGGCAGCCACCCTTCAGCACAGCCCAGAAGTAAGACTGGGAGCTCCCCGCGAGGGGAGGGGTGAGAGGAAGTAGAGGAGGAGGCGGCTGAGTGTGAGAGAACTCACAGCTTTGGAGTTTCTTTTCTATTTAAAGGCTTGCTACCCACTTGGTAAAACTCATTTCTGGTTTGTGTTTTTAGCAGGAAAATGCTTTCCTACTCAACAGTAAGAACAGACCCGGTTTGGAAAGTCCTCAAGGGTTCTCAGGTCTCTTGTCTCATGTTTCCTGGGCCAGGAGATGGGATTTGAATAATCGTACTTTGAGGATTTCCAGGGGAAGCCCCCAGGCAACCTTCTCACTGGGGATCTTGTGACCCAGGCGGAGACAACGAAAGATGACTCTGTGAGTCCGGAAGTCTCCCCCTGCACGGCAGTGCATCCATTCAACAAATGTTTATGGCTCCCCTGTGTGTGTGTATGTGTGTGTGTGTGTGTGTGTGTGTTGGGGAGGACACTCAGCAGGCAGCAGGGACAGGGCAGGGGCTCGCGTTTCTCAGGGAAGCCGCTGAGAGGGCGCCCCGCGTGCTCACGGGCTGGAGAGAGCGGGAGGAAAGGAGTGACTGCACGTGGAGGGGCTTCCGGGGAGCCCCTTCCAGGGGCTGGCAGTGAAGGGCAGAAGAGAAAGGTGAGCAGGGAGGGTGGTTTCCCGTGGTTGCCGTCACAACTAGCATGGGTTGTCCCACGCGACAGGCACGCACTCCCTCCCTGCCCTGATGCTGGAAGTCTGACATCAGAACACCAGCAGCACCGTTCTTCCTTCGAAACCAACCATTTACTGGCTGTGTGACTTTAGGCAAATCACTCAACTTTTCTGGGCTTCAGTTTCTCCATTGGAGAAATGACTCTGAAGTGAGACAGGGGAAGCCAGAGACTCTTTCCCTGCCTCTTCTCGCGTCTGGTGGTGGTCCTCAGTTCTTGGTCCATTTCCTGAACTCCACCACGGCCCCCTCCCCAGTGTATCTGTATCATTCTGATCAGGATGCATGAATTCAATCCCAGGGTGTCGGGGTTAGGACTTGAACATATCCTTTGCAGAGCTACAGTCCTACCCACTTCAGGGATCAAGACAGGCAGGGCGAACAGCCAGTGGGGCCCTGAGCCAAGCAGGGGATGGACACTTGGGGACAGGAAGAAGTCAGTGTGACTGTAGCCGGTAATGCATGGGAGCGTGGCCTAGGGCAGTGGGAAGCAGCCAGTGGCCGGGGCCCAGGAGCAAGAGAGAGCCGGAGCAACTGGGATTCACCAGCTCCGAGCTCTCTGAGAAAGACACACCTGCTCCAGCTCTTGCTCACAGAGGCTGACATCCTGCTGGGGAGTCACGGTCACCCGGCTTTTCATTGTCCAGTGCACCACACCTGTGGCCAGCCTGTCACTTGTGAGCACCAGAAGTGAGGCAGAAACTTCCTGGCAATGAGGTGCTCTCTGCTCTGGAAAGCCAGGGGTTAAAGTTGTCCCCTTTACTGCATATTTGCTGCCTGAGTGCGTCCTGACCGGCAGTGGGGGAAACCATGAAGGGTCTTTCCCCGACCGAAAAAGGGAACCATGCCTCTGTGTGTGTGTGTGTGTGCAGACATATATGTTGATATATTCTATCAGTCAATCGATATAACATCTATCTACTGACATATTTATTATCATGTATCCATATGACCAGAAGGTTTGTGCTTGAAGGCAATATTCACTGGCTATGCAGATGTCTCTGGTACACAGGAGTCCATTTGTTTCCCAAGTACCTACGTTGTACCTACTAGGTCCTGAGCATGTTCTAGAAGAGCAATGAGACACAAATCCCAGCCTTTGTGGAGTTTATATTCCATGGGGGGAGGAGGAACCTAATGGATCTGCTCAAACAATTGTAGGACCCCTGAGACGGCACCGTGATCAATGGAGGGAAAACAGAGATAGGAAGGCAAGTGCTGAGAACTGTGGGATGGAGGGGGGGAGTGGGGAGCCAGCTATCAAACACAGTGGGCACGGAAGGGCTCAGTGACGTGACCATGACTGAGCAAAGACTTAGACAAGGGGAAGGAATGGGTGACAAGAACAGACCAGAAATAGCAAGGTCAAAGGGCCTGGCGCTGCAGGTTAAACCTCCTCCTGTGATACCAGCATGCCACATCAGAGCACCAGTTCGTGTCCTGGCTGCTCTGCTTTTCTAAAGACTTATTTATTTATTTGAAAGATTACAGAGAGGCAGAGAGAGAGAGAGAGGACTTCTATCCACTGGTTCACTTCCCAGATGGTTGCAATGGCTGGAGCTGTGCCCATCTGAATCCAGGAGCAGCTTCCCGGTCTGCCACGTGGGTGCGGGGGCCCAAGGACTTGGGCCGTCTTTTACTGCTTTCCCAGGCCATAGCAGAGAGCAGGATTGGAAGTGGAGCAGCCAGGACACAAACCAGAGCTCATATGAGATGCTGGCGCTGCAGGTGGTGGCCTTACTGGCTAAGCTACAGTGCTGGCCCCGGTTGCTCCACTTTTGATCCAGCTCCCTGCTAATGCACCTGGGAAGACAGCAAAGGATGGTCCAAGTACTTAGGACCCTGCCTTCCATGTAGGAGACCAAGAAGGAGTTCCAGGCTCCTGGTTTCAGCCTGCCCCTGCCCCATTCATTGAGGCCATTTGGGGAGTGAATCAATAGATGGAGGACCTCTCTCTGCCTCTCCCTCTCCTTCTCTCTCTCTAACTCCATCTTTCAAATACATAAATATTTAAAGAGAGAGACAGTGAGCCTGGGACAGAATTCTGCCTGGAGGGGCCGGTGCTAAAGCTTGGCAGGTAAGGCTGTTGTCTGTGGAGGTAGCATCCCATATCGGTGCCAGTTCAAGACCTGGCTGCTCCTCTTCTGATGTGGCTCCCTGCTAATGGCCTGAGAAAGCAGCAGAAGATGGCCCAAGTGTTTGGGCCCCTGCACCCTCCTGGGAGACCTGGAAGAAACTCCTGGCTTTGGATCAGCCCAACTCTGGCCATTGCAACCATTTGGGGAGTAAACTAATAGATGGAAGATCTATCTATCTATCTCTAAATAAGTAAATCTTTTTAAAGAAGGACTGTGCCTGGAGCATCTGGGAGCTGACAAGGGGGCCAGGACGCCAAGTAGAATTGGCTAGATGGAAAGGATGAGAATGAGACCAGAGGGGCTCACAAGGTGGCAGCCCATGGGCCTCATAGACCATGGCCCAGGTCTCCTGACCTATGTGGATTTTGTTGCTCTTATCTTCCACACTAGACACAATAATTACCTGATTTTCAGAAGTGTGAACCTGATGTTGGTTCTTTGTCAGTTCCCTCCATAAAAGTTCACACAGTGGGACATCAGAGTAACCTCTGTGACCAAGCAGAAATCACAGCCCCAACAGGTAAGCGATCGCTGAATACAGAGACAATAGGGCTTCCGGCTGCTAACATGCAGCAATTGGAATATTCCTTAAAGTTAGATATAGCTAAAGAGCGAGATAGAAATGTTTTACTCTCACATACATTAAGGCTACAGAGAGGTGCCTCAGGACTGGCAAGGAACTCATAGTTTCTGGGGTCTTGCAGTCTTATTGCCTTACTTTCCCAGAACATGGATTCACCTCATTGTTCAAAATGGCTGCTTAGATGACAGCCATCACTTCTACAACCTCACTACCAGGAAGGTGGACGGGGTGCTTCTTCCCATCCTTTTTGCCTTTTCCTTAAGAACTTCAAATAACTCCTTCAGAACCCTTGTGCTTCTATATTCCACTGATGAAAAACTAGTCACATGGCTGCACCTGGCAGCAAAGGAGGCTGAAAAATGCAGCCGTTACTCCTCTCTTATAATTCTCAAATGGAGGCTATGTTATTATCAACTATAATCACAATAATAAACTGGCCCTCGACAGTTTATCATTGTTACTTTTTATTTTGTATATCCTTTTTTCACTTTGTTTTCTTTCTTTTACTTTTCTCTTCTTCATACTATATGTTGAGCTCTTTATGTAACATAGAGTTAATCATATGTATATTAAGTCAATTGGAAAAGGACCCCAGTTAAAAAAAAAGAGGAGGAATAAGAGAGGGAGGAGGTAGTCTCTAACTGTAAAGCAGTATAGTTCTGCATACAGTCCCACAGACTTACTTCTCAGGGCACAGCCTAAACACTTGTCATGGGGCTCCAAACCCATAAAAATCAGTGGTATAAATGCTGTCTTAACTGTAAAAATGATCATATTAAATGCTAAATTCCAACATATAGATAGGTTTAAGTGTAAAAGTGATCATATAAATAACATCAAGTGCCTGGTACTAATAATAGACAGAATTAAAAAGAAAGGAAAGTCCAATATGGGAAGCAGTCCACACAGCAGACTCCCAGAATGACATTCACTGTAAATAACACTCTGACCTCAGAATCAACCCTTAAGCTTCTTGGTCGGGCTGAAAGGCCTGTGAGAGCATTTCAGGTATGGAAACCAAGACTGTGGCAAAAAATACCCTACACGGAGGATCTCTGTGAGACCTCAGTGGAAAGAAAGGGTCATCAAAGAAGGATGTACTCTTCTCTGAAGGGAGGAGAGAACATCCACTTTGCTATGGCCGTGTCCAACACTGACGGAGTCTATGGTCACAAAAGTCTTCTATAGCCTTGGCAGTCCTTGGCAAGAGCCTCGGGTGATCACTGACATCATAAATAATAGAGTTAATTGTTAAAGGAACAACAGTAGTCACTGTGCACTTACTCCCCATACAGGACCTCCGTCCTTTATGAGTTGTACTATGAGAATCGACTGCAAATCTTGTTCTCAAACTGTACTCTATAAGTTGAGTGTGTGTGTGTGTGTGTGGGTGGGTGCAAACTGTTGAAATCTATGCTTAACATGGAGTTAGTCCTCTGTATATAAAATCAAACTAAAAATGAACCATAATTAAGAAGGAGATAGGAGAGGGAGAGGGAGGTGGGATGAGAGTCGGGGTGGGAGGGTGGGTATGGGGAAAAGAACCACTATATTCCTAAAGTTGTATCTATGAAAAAAACTACATTCATTAAATAAAAACTGCAGGGCTGTAGAACATGTCCTTCCTCCTCTCTAATTTAATGAATGCTTCTTCCTCCTCTCTAATTTCATGGGGCTACCCAGGATCCAACCTCCCTCCATCCTCTCCCTCTAGTAATGGAGAAAAGGAAAGATGGGAGGGAGGGAGGGGCAATTTCAAGAACTTGCAGATTCAGGATGACAGCAGGTTTGCCAACTCCAAATGTCACTTTTTATTCTCAAACATTGCTGTCAATCCGTAAACAAACCCACCCTGGGGCTGACATCACGCTAGGGACCACGGGTGCCCATGGAGCTCATAACATAACCAAGAAAGCTGAACTAATGTGTGTAGAACAGTGAACAGGAAAAGTAAATAAGATGCCATTGTCATCAAGAGGAATGCTTACGACACACTTCTAACTAAAACAGTACAGCAGAAAGCAACATGTAAAATATCACCTCCTCTGTGAAAACATATACATGTGCATTTAAAACGTAGCAGAAAATCGGAAAATCGCACATCAAAGCGTTACATTTGACCTGGTATTCTTTTGTTACTTTTGCTTATTTAAATTTTCTATAGCGATTCTATGTCCACTTTTGAAACAAGGCAAAAGTAATTAAAATGATGGTTGTGCCTATGGCAGAAGTCCACAGAAGCCGTGAGGTCAGCAGGAATTCCCGTGGAAGCCACAGGCTGCATGGACAGAGCCTCCCACAGGGAGGGAGGGCACCTCCCATGGCCATTTTCCCAGCGATCCTGGCTGCTGACCCTGGGCCCCTCACTAGCATTCTGCCTCTTTCAGTCTCAGAAACGCAACAGGTTTGCCTGAGCCCTTGGAGGCCCCTCTGCCAGCCCTTGACCTCGGGGCCTCTTGGTCTCCACTCCCTTCATTTCAAAGAGAAGCTGACGGAGCTGAACCAGCCCTGAATGCATGAGCCAGGGCTCCGAGTGCCGCCGTATGCAGTGAGGTGGAGTGTGGGCGTCGGGGGAGAACTCCCAGGGGCTACCTGCCAGCTCATCGCAGGGGCACCTCCCGGAGAAGGGTGGACGGGGGTAGGAGCAGGTGGAAGTCACACTGAGCTGCTATGTGCTAGGAGCTGCATTATCTCTAACAGAAGATCCTGCTGGGTGCTTTTCCTCATGACCATTTAAAAGCATGAAAAGTCAGGTGTAGCATGTTCACTCACCTGCTCAAGGTCACCTAGCAGGAACAGGGCATCTGTCTTCACTCCGTGTGCACTGATGCCCACCCCAGGAGAGAGGGGCTGCCCCTGCAAGGACAGCTTAGCTGTAGACCTAATGATGAGGTGGGGAGGGGATAGTGTGATAGGAGAAGCATCCTGTTCCCCAAGGCAGGCTTCTGTGCCTCCCTTCTGTGCCCCTGCACAAAGTCTGTTGCTCACGGAGGCACTGCCCACCTGATCTGCCTTGTAGTCAAGCACCCCTCCCTCCATTTCCAAAGCCCCTGGCACTGTTCTTTGTGACACTTTAACCCAGGCCTTCCCCTCCTAGAGATGGGAAGGCACTAGCCAGAGCCCCGGCATGACAGAGAACCTGAGACTCGGGGGTAGGAGCTAGCTGTTTGTGCAGCACTCCAGCCTGTCCCCAAGACCACACCTCCACAATCCAACTGCTTATTGGAGGGCCAGGGTGGGAGGTGAGGGAGGCAGGGCTAGCCTGGAATTGCAGTGGGAAGCACTATGGTAGACTCAATGACAAAGAGCCAGGACAGGGAATGGCAGAGGAAACAAAGCTCGACTAGAGCCTGAGTCGGGGGACAGCTGGAGAAGCAGGAGAGAGCAGAGCCTCTGGCAACGGTGGCCGCATCCCGTTCAGACGGGATGACCCAATCATCCTCCCAACAAACATCGACAGAGTGCTTACGAGACTGGGGCCAGAATCTACATGTGTGAGTCTGGGGTGGCAGGGGGGCCTTGCTGAACCCCTCCATCTTCACTCATTCCTGGGGCAATCGTCTGGTTGGGGCTTAAGGGCCTGGGTGCCTGTAACTCTGTCCTCTGGAGGGAAAGAAAGAAGAAGGTGAGCTGATACCAAAGGGGCAGCCAGATAGCGGCCCACCCATCACCCGGCTGGCACAGCAGACAGGGTGCCCCCCAGGCTGCCTCCCGGGAAGCTCTGTTCACCAGCTTGGAAGCCAGGGTTCTTAGAGGCTCCTACCTGGAAGACTGACCCTCAAAGAAAGGGACAACATGTCACGGAGATCCTTGATGATCTCATAACCAAACTATAATAATGACAAAGAATCCATTTTATTATTAAACACACACACACACACACACACACATATGAGTGACACTGTGTTTTGAGTACCTGCTGAATTACCTTTTTTAGTCTTCACCGAAGAGCATGATAGATATCACTGTGGCCATTTCACAGGTTGAAAAATTGAGTCCAAGTGAGACTAACTAAGATGTCTAAGGTTGTTACGACAGGAGAATGAATCCAAAACCTATGCACTCCAAGCCCCACAACCCAGGGTATCCCCTCCTGCACCCCATTGGCATTCTATTCTACATCACTACAAAGTAAGCTGCACCTGATGGGCCATCCTTTTGACCTTGACTTAGCTCCTGTGCCAATCCCTGACCTTACGCTTGCTGCAGGACACAGGGTCAACCCTTAATGCATAGGCCAATAATTGGCAGGTGGATTGAGTTTCTTTTTTCACAGAAATGAAAGTAACACCCTCTTGCACATGAGAGCTGGAGAGCACAGAGAAGTCAATTCTGACCACACTAAGAACCCCCCACCCACCCCGTTATCTTAGACAAGGTATTGGGAATACAAACCTCAAGTTCACTCACCGGCTTCCGATTTGTAACTGCCCACAGCACCTGCCAACAGAAGAAAAGCAGATCTGTGACGGCCTTCAGACATGGCCACCTTGACGTTCAGATGGCAGGTGCCTTAGGCGTCACAACCCCTACGTCTGCAGCATGGCTATTGCACACCATCACTGCCGCAGAGTGTCCGGACAGCAGCCACAGGCAGCCAGTCCAGGAACGGGCATAGCCGTGTCCAATAAAACCTTGTTTACAGAAACAGGCTGTGGGCCCCAGTTTGCTGATTTCTGGTTTAGAACAGCCAAAGCAATAGGACTAATTAACGGGAATCTGCTGTGTGCCAGGAACTCCACATAATGCAATCTCCTTTCCTGAATGGGGGTCTGCTGAGTGCTGGCCACAGGCCAAGCACTGCTCTAGGCACAGGAGATTCTGTGCAGAAAAAGACAAAACCTTGCTCCCCTGCAGTTTCCCCGGGCAGGGAACCCTGCCAACCCCTCCCCCAGTAGAGAGCCTCACCTCTCTTCTTCAGATAAACAGAAGAGGCACAGGAAGGGACCCTGCCCTCCACCCCAAGCTTGCGAGGGGCAGAGCTGAGTGTCCAGACCGGATCCTAAAGTCTTGGTTCCTCACAAGACTCCTTGCCATCCCTCAAATCAGAAGCAAGACCACCATGCAACCTGCTGAACGGTTGCCATGGCACCCCTGGCCTAGCGCTGGCCAGAGCCTCAACAACCCCAGGCAAGAGCAGGCACAGTAGAAATCTGTGTCTGATAAATCCAAGAGAAGTGGCTGTCCAGGGCAGCCAGTGCAGGGCGGGGACACCCTGTCTCTGTCAGGACCCTGACATCCGGAGGACAGCAGGGCTCCCAGTCTGGAGCAGGGAGGTGAGGCTGACCAACACCTCTGCTATTGGAAGGGGTCTGTCTGCCATCCCTACCTTCATGGTTTTGTGTAGCTTGGACCCTGAAATCAAGGAGCTCAAGAACAAAGTCTCCACCAGTGCCTACTCGATGCTGGCACTCCACGAACATTTTACCCACATGCGGTGGGGTGGGTACACATCTTGCCACTGTTTCATAGACTAGGGGGTCCACAGGTTTTTTTGTCAAGGGCCTGGAAGTAATTAGCTTGGTTTTGCAGGCCATGCCATTTGTGTGGTAAGAGCTCAGTTGGCCATTATCAAATAGAAATTCGGTACACCCCAGCTATAGCTGAAACACAGCACATCAGAAAAGAAGGAGCATAGCTGTGTGTCAATAAAACTTTACTCATAAACACTGGAGTGTGAATTTCCTATGATTTTTATGTTATGAAATATACTTATGATTTTTTTCAATTTTAAAATGTAAATGTTTACCACTGCATTAAATTCACACTTACATTTAAAAGCATGAAATTTAACATGTGAAAACATTTTAAAAACGTAAAAACCATTCTTAGTTTGCAGCCTGTACAGAAACAGGCAGGGGTTGCATTAGCTCGTTGGCCATAGCTTATAGACTCTGTGTTGCAGACATCACAGCTGCTGAACTCCCTGATCCAGGAGTCTACCCCTGAGCCTCATCTGCAGTGTGCATTCCCAGAGGCCGTAAAGATGGTGGCAGAGCTCCTCTGTTTCCGACAACTTCAAGAAGAGTAAGAGCCTTCATTCACTCAATCATTTTATTCACTGGCCCTTTAAAATGTTGCGAACTCAGGCAGGCACTTGGCAAAGCAATCAGCTGCTGTAACCCCCATCAGAGAACCCGGGCTTGCGTCCCAGCTCCATTCCTATTCCATCTTCCTGCGACTTAAGGAGGCAGCAGGTGATAACACAAGAGCTTGAGTCCCCGCCACCCATGTGGGAGCCCTGGCTTGAGTTTCTAGCTCCCGGCTTTGGCTCCAGCCCAGCCCCAACCTGTGCAGGCCTTTTGGGAGGGGAGGGGGAATCAGTGGACGGGAACACTCTGTCTCTCTATCTCCCTCGCTCAAATAAAAAATAAAAGCAAAATAAAATATGAAGGTCTTTGAGGTAGGAGGTGCTTCTGCGAAGGAGGCTCTTCTAAGCCTCTTGGTAACTCTCAGGAGGGGTGGAGGGGTGGCTTTTTACAATGCTCATCCCAGCTTTACAGATGAGAAAGCAGAGGTGTGGAGCTGAGCCACTGTGGGCCACAATGTTTTCCTTGAGGAACATGGGAGCAAATAACTAAAACACAGACAGCAGAATGGTTAAAAAGACAGATCTTACAGCTGAAAACCTATGGATGTTATTCCAAGTAGGTCAATAGGCAAAGCTCGGTGCAGGAGGCACTGGGGCAGGGTGGGGAAGGAGAGCAGCATTTTGACTACCAGAGAGGAGGCCAACCTGGGCAGCGACAAACAGCAAGAATAGAGAAGGCAAAGTCCCAGAGAGTAGTATGGAGGCTGTGCAGAGGGCAAGGAGCAACCAGCCAGGCAAAAGTTGCTACAGAAACCCTGGGTGGTCGGCTGGGCCAGAGGCACCTGCTGCAGGGGAGCAGAGAGGGCCTACGGGACTGGGGACACCCAAGGGCCATCTGCTCTGAGGTGACAATCATGCCAGGGCCAGTGCGTTGGCAGCACAAGACTGAGGGATTTCAGAAGGTGCTGGAAGGGAAGAAGGAATAGGGAGCAGAAGGGAGTGCAGCCAGGCTGAGGCCCTGCTCTGGGTTCTGGGAGGGTTAGGAGGGCCCGCACTCTGATCCTAACTGGTGAGATGGAGGGAGAGGTGCTGCTAGCAGGCACGACGCTTCTGCAGATGTTGGGTCGGAGGAAGAGGAGACTTCAACCCCTCGCATATTCTGATCCACACAGCCTTAGAAGGGCACCTTATAACTGAGCCACTGGATAAGGGAAAACACACCGAGAGGCCAAAGCCTCCACTGAGATCACACATTGAGCTTTCTTGTGACTGCTACTAAGGGCGACTCATAGGTGCTGAGGGTTTGTGGTGTGCCTGGCACTGTGCTAAGTTCTGTTCATGGATGCCCCATTCCCTCCTCCCAGCTTTATGAAGAATCCTCATGTTGTGTCTGTAAGCATAATTCTCATGCATATTATTAATAATATATGCTATATTAATTCTATCCCAGTACAATATTCTGTGCAATACGGATAAAGAACTTTAAGGGTAGACCAGTTGTTCGACACCCCCACTTCAGAAACATTGAGGATTTGTCTCGGGCTGCTGGAGGCTGCAGCCTGTTTTTCCAACACGTTCACATCTTCTGATATGCCCCGAGAACACAGAACTAGCAGGAAAGAGAAGGAGATGAAGGCAAGGACGACTGTCTTGGAGACACAGCAGTCCCATTATCTCCCCAGATGAGAAAATAAGAGGCGTGTCGGGGGAGGAGCGGGTGGATGAGCCTGCTGTGTGCCGCCGGCCAGGAAGAGGACTCTCAGTAAAGGTCACGCTCCCCCCGGGCGAGAGAGCAGGCCAAGGAGTAAGGGCTCTCTCAGCCTCGGTGCACAGGCATAGCAGGCAGCAGAGGCGAGGCTGGCTGCAGCCCAGCGGGCAGGGTTGTATAAGAACCACAGCCCTGCCAGGTCCCTGCGGAACACCAGGGCAGCCTTCGGACCAGAAAAACAAACTCAGGAACGCCTGCCAGACAGGGACAGTCCAAGGAGTAAACAGAGGAGCGATCACACCCCAGGGACCCCGCTACACTCCTCCCTGTCCTGCTGGGCTAATCATCATCCCAGTAACTGACAATGACGGAGCACTGACGTGGGAGCCACGTGTGCCCAGAGCTTGCCACACATCGTCTCTTTGATCACCAAGACGCGTGTGTGTGGCAGTGAATGGGAAAACTTCTAATGTTCCATAGCACAGTAGGTTAACTACGGTTGACAATTAATTGAATATTTAGCAATAGCTTGTAGGAAGGACTCTGCATGTTCCTGGCACAAAGAAATGTGAGGTTTCTGAGGCTATGAGTGCACCAGTGACCCTGAGCTGGTCCTTCCACAATGTATACCTGCACTGGATGTCCCAGCACACCCCATGAATAGACTGCTATTCTGTGTCAGTTGAATTGTTTTATTTGTTAAAACTGTTTATTTATATTCTTCTGCTTGAAAGGCAGAGTGAAAGAGATAGAGAGATATCCTGTATCTGCTGGTTTACCCCCAAATGCCCATAATAACCAAAGCAAGGTGACCCAAGAACCCTATCTGGGTCTCCCATGTGGTTGGCAGGGACCCAAGCAGGAAGCTGGATTGGAAGTGGAGCAGTCAAGACTCAAACAGGCACTCTGATAGGGAATGTGGGTGTCCCAAGTGGTAGCTTAGCCCACTGCACCACAATGTCCACTCCTAAATTTTTTTAAAGTTTTTTTAAAGATTTACTTATTTACCTAAAAGGCAGAGTTACAGAGAGGCAGAGAGAGAGGATATCTTCCACCCACTGGTTCACTCCCCAAATGGCCCCAATGGCTGGATCTGGGCCAGGATGAAGCCAGGAGCCAGGAGCTTTTTTCTGGTCTCCCACATGGGTACAGGGGCCCAAGCACTTGAGCCATCTTCTCTGCCTTCCCAGGCACATTAGCAGGGAGCTGGATTCGGAGGTGGAGCAGCCAGGATTTGACTCATCCCCCATAAGTAATACCGGCACTGCATGCAGTGGCTTTACCCCACTATACTACAGCACCGGCCCCCAATTTTTAAATATTAAAATAACAAAAAGAAAAGTCAGGGGGAAGAGTGTAAAATGATTCCCATTTTACAGATGTAGAAGTTGAGGATCATCAAGTTACCTTGGATCATCGAGCTTTTCAATTGTGGAGCTGGAACTGGAACCAAGGCCACCTGGCTCCACAAGCCACATCCATGATCACCATGCTGCAGGTAGGCACCTGGAAAAACACAAAGCTCTCAGGGCCTGGGATTGTGTGGCTCTCAGCTCCACCACTTCCAGCAGGTGACCTTGGACTGACTAGCTCTGTATCCATTGTCACATGGGTAAAATCAGACCTCCAGCTTCTAGGGCGGTAATGAGCCCAGGGTGGACAAAGTGGTGGCCGGCAGTTCTTTGATAGCCGTGTCTGACATCTCAGGGCTCACAGTCTCTGCCACCTTGCAAAGTAAGACATGGGCTTCTCCTCAGCTCCCATGAAAAGTCACCCATCCTCCTGGGTCGCAATCTCCGTTTTGTGAACTCCCAAGAAGGGTTCCCAGCCTGCCAAGGGACCCCAGCTCCTCGCCAGGCTTCTGAAGAAACACACTGATGATCCAGCCGAGGCCTTTCTCTACCCTCCCTACTCTTTAACCCCTTTTCCCTTTCAATTGCAATTCATCATGCTCCATAGGGAGAACAAGTGAAATTAAAAAGGCAGACAATTCAACCATGCCAATGCTTCTACAAAGCTGCCTCAAAACGTTCCTGGAAAATGGAATTTAAAGTTAAATTTATTATGGTGCAAATATTTTTTTGAAATCCATGCATAAGTGGGGTCTTCATAAAAGCTCATGAAAAAATGCACAATGAAAATACTATGCATGGTTTTCAAAAAGATTTTGTACCAAAGTCAACATCCTTTAACTCTGTCATGAATTTTGTGAAGTGCCTTCATATCTCTGGAAGTCGGGGCATACAATATGGTCTGCTGAGCAAAGAAACAAGCCATAAGCTCACCAGAGCAGTCAAAGGCAGTTTTTTGTTTTTGTTTTTGTTTTTGTTTTTGTTTTTGTTTTTAAGGCAGAGTTACAGAGAAACAGAGGAACAGAGAGAGAGAGATCTTCAATCCGCTGGTTCACTCCCTTGATAGCAGCAACAGCTGGAGCTGAACCAATCTGAAGCCAGGAGCCAGGAGCTTCTTTAGGTCTCCCACACAGGTGCAGGAGTCCAAGCACTTGGGCCATCTTCTACTGCTTTCCCAAGCCATAGAAGAAACTGGATTGGAAGAGGAGCAGCCAGGACTTGAACCAGTGCCCATATGGGATGCTGGCACCGCAGGCAGCAGCTTTCCCCACTAAGCCACAGCACCGGCCCCCAAAGGCAGTCTTTTATAGAGTTACTTCAGCTATGTGAAAGCAAGACCTGCAGCCAGGCCCCCTTTGAGGTCACCAATTCCAAAAATATGGAATTACAAAATGCAGGAAACTAGTCTTGGCCGGGGCGCCGGATTCTGTCCCGGTTGCCCCTCTTCCAGGCCAGCTCTCTGCTGTGGCCCGGGTGTGCAGTGGAGGATGGCCCAAGTGCTTGGGCCCTGCACCCCATGGGAGACCAGGATAAGTACCTGGCTCCTGGCTTCGGATCAGCGTGATGTGCTGGCCGCGGTGGCCATTGGAGGGTGAACCAACGGCAAAAGGAAGACCTCTCTCTCTCTGTCTCTCTCTCTCTCACTGTCCACTCTGCCTGTCCAAAAAAAAAAAAAATGCAGGAAAGACATTTCCCCCATGGAGCTCTCTCCACCACCCATAATCCTCCAGGTCTCTGTCTCCCCTAGCCTGGGGCATGGGGCTCACGTGTAGAACTGTGTTTCCATGTAATTGGTTTCCTTTGCAATCCTGAGTACTTTTATTATATCCACATTGAAAGGATTATTCTAAAAAGGCATCCAGCTTGCCAGAAAGGTCAATGGCATTTTATAAACTTGCGTAAACTCTCTTGTCCTGAGGACCAGACCCCTAAGAACTCGCATTTTCCTGGCCCTTTAGGACCACATCTTCCAAAGGTTTCTAACAGGCTGACAGATTGGACCACATTGTCTCCCCCTTTCAGCCTCCCTAGAAATGCTCAGCAGATGTGAGCATCGGAGAAAGAGTGGGGAAACAAAGCAAGCACGACCCTCTTCTAGTGTTCCACTGACTACCATCCCCTGTGCTATGGACAATGTCATGTTTGATTATCAGTACTCTCTCTGTGACCTACAAGCTCTTGGAGAGCAGGGGCAATGTAGAACCCTTGAATTCTGGTGTTTGGAACTGCAACCAGGAAGAACATTTGTGTCCCCCTCAAAGTCGTGTAATGCTATTAGGAGGTGAGGCCCTTGGCAGGTGACTAAGTCCTGAAGGTGCAGCCCTTTTGAATGGGATCAGTCTCCTATGAAAGAGGACCCAAAGCGCTCCTCTGCAGCTCTGCCCTGTGAGAACATAGCAAGAAGTCACCGCCTATGAAGCAGAAGTTCGGCCTTTACCAGATCCTCAATCTGCCTTGACCTTGCACTTCCCAAGCCACTGAAGCATGAGAACTAAATTTTCGTTGCCTATAAACCTTGAGTCTATGGGCTCCTGGAGTGGCAGCACTGAGGGCCATGACAGCAGGGCTCTGGTAAGTGTTGGCTGAATGCAGGGAGAGGAGAGAAAGCATCTGACCACACAGAGCTTCCTTCCTCGTTCCCATGGGTGAACATCTCCCTCCCTCAGGTAAAGCCCCAGAGACCTTCTCTTGGCCTCAGTGGTCTGCTTGGAGTTCTTGGTCTTTCCTTTTTTGGGGGCCACATGGAGGACAAGTCGCTGCCAGCTGGGGTCAGGGCCTGGCTGTGCCTTCTCGCCCACGTGGATGTTTTCCTGCTCTCCTTGGACGCACCACGGAGGGGAACAGTAGGCTCCATCCAGAAACTGCTGGTCTACACAGCCACCAAACTGCCTTCCGCTTGCAGGCGTATTTGGGGATCACGACAATAAATGAAAGGGGAGGCTTTGCTTCAACAGTGACTCTACCAGGCCAAGTACTGGGCCCTGCACATGGATGCTGATGGGACATCCCCCTCCCCAAACTGGGGAAGACACATTCTTTTCAAGTGATTGTGCAACATTCCCCACAACAGACCAGAGGCTGGGCCAGAAAATAAATCGCAATCACAGTCAAAGAGCGGAACTCGTACATGGCAACTTCCCTGAGGACGGTGGACGAGGAGTGGAAGTTAGCAACAGTGGATCCATCTGTAGAGGAAACCCCAGGATGTGGAAATGAGGAATCTTGCTCAGTGTTTGCCTTTAATAATGGTAGCTCCAGCCTTCAACCCCTGCCCCAATAACTTCCTCTGGCTCTGAAGGTGAAGGTCAACCACAGTCCAAGGACAAGCTGCAAGTCCTGAGCCCGCCACTCACTGCCCTTTTGCATAGCAAGCCAGGAGAGCATTCACTTTGGAACTACTCTTAGCCCTTGGCTCTCTCCAGATCCATCTGAGACAGGAAGATCCCTGTCTTGCGGTCAGAATAGGGTCTCACCCCACTCTCTGTGCTTCCACTGCTGGGGGTCCCCAGGGTGGAGTGAGGCTCGTTTGGTGATGGCTCCTGTTCTGCCAACTCAGAATGATCTCTGCCCAAAAAACAAAAACAAAAACAAAACTCCACACTAGTTCTGTTCAAGGAACTTAACAATTGTGTCTTTAGGAAAAAACAAAGGAGTGCATGAACAGCTGATTCCTTCTGCCTGCCCTGCTACAAGGTTCCCGTGACAGCAGAATTGGAGTAACCCAGAAAGAAATCCCAGTGCCCAGTCATCCCACGCCAATGGCAGCCATGGCCCTGACGGCGTTCAGATTGAGGAACTGACCCTTGTGTAAGTGTTTGCTTGGGTTTCTTAAGACCAATACTCTGATTCTTTCGGCTTATTACATAAAAGGATAGTTCTGGTATTGATAATCAGCCACCCATAAGAGCAGGAAAGTGAAGGAACCTGTTATTGGCAGACATATGAGATGTACAAATCACAACAGTAGTGAAACAAGGCTTTTGGAAGCATCTTTTCCCCACAAATTGGGATAGCACAGCCTAGACAGGAAAGAGGGGGCACTAAGACTTTAACTAAAACAAACCTGAAGAAGCTGGTACATAACATCCCCTGACTCCATCAGACAAGGGAATTAAAAGTCAGATGCTTGGGGGCTGGCGCTGTGGTGCAGCAGGTTAACGCCCTGGCCTGAAGCGTAGGCAGCCCATATAGACGCCAGTTCTAGTCCCGGCTGCTCCTCTTCCAACCCAGCTCTCTGCTATGGCCTGGGAAAGCAGTAGAAGATGGCCCAAGTGCTTGGGCCCCTGCACCCACCTGGGAGACCCGGAGGAAGCTCCTGGCTCCTAGCTTCAGATCGGCACAGCTCCTAACTTCGGATCAGCGCAGCTCCAGCTGTTGTGGCCATCTGGGGAGTGAACCATCAGACGGAGGACCTCTCTCTCTGCCTCTCCTCTCTCTGTGTAACTCCGAGTTTCAAATAAATAAATAAATCTTTAAAAAAAAAAGTCTGATGTTTGGTCACATGCAAGCTGTAGGACCACAGGCAACAGGCTGCCTCTCAGTTTCCTCATCTATAAAATGGGTAAGTAAATGAACCTAACTCAGAGGGCTGCTATGAAGACTGCAGGTGATGATGAATGAGAGACCGAGCAAGTGCCTCACTCAGAATAATTATCCCTAGCATTTACCAGGCAAACTAAGAAATTCCCCCAAGGACACAAGTTGTAATTCATAGAGGCTGGATTCACACTCCGTCTAGTGCCGGCACCTCAAGACCCTTCCCAGTGAATAGGAAGGACCAACAGCTACCACCACCACCAACAACAACTCCAGGAGGGTCAGCTAAACTGCTGCAGGTAGCCAAAGGCACCCGGGAATCACTCTATAAGAACAGGGCCTGGAAGCATGTCTGGGTCTTTAAGGTTAAAAGTGGAGAGGAGAAGGGCCTCCTTGGTGGATAAGCCGTGTTGGCAGAGGCAGGAGGAATTAACAGGAATTCTCTGTTTATGCTAGGCTGACTAGTCAGTGGTTGTGGTAAGAGCCCTGAGCTGCCAGTCTCCTATGAAATCATTTCCAGGGCTGTGCAAACACTATGGTGAGCACAGCACTGGGGACAGAGCACAGGCTCTGGTGGTGTCTGCTCCACGAAGCGGCCATCATCGAGCTGTGTGACCTAGGAGACGCAGCCTCGCAGTTTCAGGAGGGAGCCCACCTTTGCCACCTGTGCCACAGCCACAGATTGGGTGGCTGTGCTGACCCCCTGGAGCCCTCCATGTAAAGACTTAGTAGCAGGGCTGGCTCTGTGGCATAGTAGGTTAAGCCGCTGCCTGAGACATGGGCATCCCATATGGGAATACCAATGGGAGTCCAACTGCTCCACTTCTGATCCAGCTCCTTGCTAATGCACCTGGGAAAGCAGCGGAGGACAGCCCAGGTGCTTGGGCCCCTACCACCCATGCGGGAAACTCGGATGAAACTCCTGGCTTCAGTCTGGGCCATCCCTGGCCATTGTGGCCATTTGGGAAGTGAACCAGCAGATGGAAGATCTCTCTCTCTCTCTCTCTCTCTCTCTAACTCTGCCTTTCAAATTAAAAAAAAAAATTTTTTTTGAATCTTAATGGAGAATGGGACTGGCCAGGGGAGAGGGAGGAGGTGGAGGGGTGGGAGTGTGGGTGAGAGGGAAGGTGTGGTGGGAAGAATAACTATATTCCCAAAGCTATACTTATGAAATTTGTATTCCTTAAAAATAAATTGTTTTAATTATTTAAATTTTTTTTAAAATTTAAGACTTAGCAGCAAACCTGCCAGGAGTCTGAGGCTTATGTCTGTGTCCCACTGGACATGTCCTAGGTCTCCTCTGCGTCCTGCTGCCCACCGCCCAGACCCTTTCTATGCACTCAATGGCATCTGTCAAGGAACAAATTCATGTCCTGAAAAAGGAAAGTTTCAAGAACCAAAGAGAAATAGGACTTGGTCCTCTACTACTTACCAGAGTGGAGTTCCTGCTAAAAACAACTCAAAGCACAGCCAGATTTAGGGATCTGACTTCATCCCTCTTGCAAAATACATTTCTGCTAAATAACAGTGATGCAATGTCATTTGAATCCTAACCATCTGACAGGCGCCCAAAGAAAGCACTCTCTACCCAGACCACAATGATGTTTCCTCTGATCTTTGTGTTTTCTTGTGTAAAATGAGACAAAAAGCCAGAAAGTTTTTAATATTGAGGCACATTTGCTTTAAGTTCTCTTCTTGTCTACACAAACTGAAATCCTGGTTTTGTGTCTGGGCTTAAGTGGGTATTTTTATCATCTATTCTTCAAATCCAAGATCCTAACATATATCTCTTTTCCAATTTTTTAAAAAAGATTTATTTATTTATTTATTTGAAAGTCAGAGTTATACAGAGAGAGGAGAGGCAGAGAGAGAGAGAGAGAGAAAGAGAGAGAGAGAGGTCAGTCTTCCATCTGATGGTTCACTCCCCAATTGGCCACAACTGCCAGAGCTGTGCTGATCCGAAACCAGGAGCCAGGTGCGTCTTCCGGGTCTCCCACGTAGGTGCAGGGGCTCAAGGACTTGGGCCATCTTCTACCACTATCCCAGGCCATAGCAGAGAACTGGATTAGAAGTGGAGCAACTAGGTCTTGAACTGGCACCCATATGAGATGCCGGTGTTTCAGGTCAGGGTATTAACCCACTGCACCACAGCGCTGGCCCCTCCAATTTCAACATCTCCACAACAGGTACGTGTGTTACAGCCAGGAGAATGCAGTAGTGTAATTACAGGCATTTCTTTCTCAGTGCACACAAATGAATGGAGACCAGACAACTGGTATACCTTAGTGATGAGGACAAGCAGTATGTCTGGGGACCACACCAGGTTTTCAAACTTGCACTTGCTCTACCCAACAATCATCTAAGTACCACTCCTGACTGGCACATGATAAAATGCAATGCCTGTAGTGTTAAGAAATTTTTGCTTCAGATTTCCTAGTGTGGGGAGCAAACCGGACTAGACTGAGTTACTGGAATTAAGACTTATTCTATGCATCTGCTCTCCCACAATATGGCGCTGGGAGAGAAGTAAACAGCTTCCGCACAGCTGCCTCCAGTTCAACCAATAAACTGTAGGACTTGCTCCTGATTGGAGAGCAGCGTACTCGGCGTGTGGGCAGCCGAGTTGGGATTGGCGGAGGAGGACTATAAAGGAGGAGAGAGACGGCATGCACCAGGAACATCTATGGGGAACATCTAAGGGAACCCGTGCAGCCCCCGAGAAAGCCGGCCGGCGGTGTGCCGCTCCCCTGCGGAAGTGGGGAATGTGGCCAGGGGGAACTGCCCTTCCACGGAGGTGGAAGGGATAGTAGCCAACCCGGGAAGAACCAGCAGCAAACCCGGGGAGGGCCGAGCAGACGAAAGAACAGCGCAGGGTCCTGTGTCGTTCCTCCACGAAGAGGGGGAGCGACACCTAGTATGTAGGAGAAAGAGTTAGGGTGTGGCTCTCATTACTATTGCTCAGTACATATTATCACACAATTTAACACTTATAAACCAAGGGCCGACTCTGTGGCACAGTAGGCTAAGCCTCTGCCTGCAGCGCCAGAATCCCAAATAGGGGTCAGTTTGGGTCCCAGTTGCTCCTCTTCCAATCCAGCTCTCTGTTATGATCTGGAAAAGCAGTAGAAAATGGCCCAGGCCGGCGCCGTGGCTCAACAGGCTAATCCTCCACCTCGCGGCGCCAGCACACCGGGTTCTAGTCCCGGTTGGGGTGCCGGATTCTGTCCCGGTTGCCCCTCTTCCAGGCCAGCTCTCTGCTATGGCCCGGGAGTGCAGTGGAGGATGGCCCAAGTGCTTGGGCCCTGCACCCACATGGGAGACCAGGAGAAGCACCTGGCTCCTGGCTTCGGATCAGCGCGATGTGCCGGCCGCAGTGTGCCGGCCGCAGCGCCCATTGGAGGGTGAACCAATGGCAAAAAGGAAGACCTTTCTCTCTGTCTCTCTCTCTCACTGTCCACTCTGCCTGTAAAGAAAGAAAGAAAGAAAGAAAGAAAGAAAGAGAGAGAGAGAGAGAGAGAGAGAGAGAGAGAGAGAGAGAGAAAGAAAGAAAGAAAGAAAGAAAGAAAGAAAGAAAGAAAGAAAGAAAGAAAGAAAGAAAGAAAGAAAATGGCCCAAGTATTTGGGTCCCTGCAGCTGCATGGGAGATTTGGAAGAAGCTCCTGGCTCCTGGCTTCGGATTAGCCGAGTTTCTGCCATTGTGGCCATTTGGGGAGTGAACCAGTGGACGGAAGATCCCTGTCTCTCCCTCTCTAACTCTACTTCTCAAATAAATAAATAAAATATTTTTTAAAAAAAGACTTATAAACCAGTCATCATTTCAAGTCATTCATGATTTTTAGGAGAGGCTTGGCTCAGTGGTTCTCACTTGGTTCTTCTTATGCCCTTGTGGTCAGCTATCAGCTGGGCCATGGTCATCTCATAGAAGAAAGGAGCATCAACCATTCGTGATGGCACCAGACAGCTGTCAGCTAGCGGAGGCTGCAGACCACAGCACCCAGCAGCAGCCTCGATAGCCTGATGGTCTCAGTGCTTCCCTCAGAACATGCATCCCAGGAAAGCCAGGCAAGGGGAAAGCAGATCCATGCTTCAATAGGAAGAACAGCAGGGAACAGCCATTTTATTCTCACAGTAGCACAGAGAGAAATCCAGGTCTGAGGGATGCAAAGACCTTGTATTTGGGATTGCTTGTCTGTTCCCAGGAGCAAAGGGACAGGGTGGAGTTAATGTTATGGGGAGGATTTTTAAACACATGTAGGAGGACTCATCACATCAAATGCAGGTTGGTTTTCCATCTCTTCATTTTGGGACATTAAATACTTCTCCAGGGTTACTCTCATTCAGAAATTACCTGGAGAATTCCAGAAGTGGTTTCAGGGCAAACTTAGCAGGTGCACAAGAAACATCAGGTATAGAGCTTTGTCAGACATACCCTATTCCTAACTCAAAATGGCATTGTTTAAATACTTAGTGAGCACCCATAACAGAATGTTCTGGTTGCTGTAGATACCCTAATGAATAAAACAATATCTCTTTCTTAACTAGGCCTACAACCCATTAAAGAGTGCAAAACTGCAATAGTATCAGCAACTCAACAGTACTATGGATAATGACAGAAATCAGGGGAATGGAATGAGTTTGGGGGGGCGGGGTAGAGAAGGCCTCTCTGGGAGCTGATATCTGAGTAGACGCTAGCCTGTAGTGAGGAAATGAGCCAGGTAGGTATACAGGGGAAAGAGTGCTCCCAAAAAGGGCAGTATGGGTAAAGTCCCGAGGCCAGCTTCTACTCAGGTACGTATAGCCCACAGCAAGAAGGGGCGAACAAGGAAGAAAGTGCCTGCAAGGGTAGGCCTTGTAGGACATAGTAGGCTCATGGGAGTTTATCCTCAGTGAGTTGGGACTCCACAGGAGTGAGGACTTGGGGCAGAGGAGTCCTGTGATCTGGTTTGCAGTTTAACAGATGCCCCTGGCTGCTGAGAGAGAGTGAAGAGTGGGGTAGAGAAAGGAAGACTGGTTAGGGGGCTCCTGTAATCATGTAGGCCCTTTTGTCATTGCTGGTAAAGGAAAGACGGAATGCACACTGGCCATCTGATCCTTTAACTCCATGAACAAGATGCATTTCCAAAGATTTCACCATTGTCCAAATTCAAGTACTACATCTACAGAAGTTGGCAATTTGGGGAGTGGAAGGTGAGGGAGACGCAGGCCATACCAGCTCCCGCACACACTGGCTGGGGACTGTGTACCTAACTGAACATAAAGGGTAGAGATGCAGGCGTTCACCCCTTTCTTCCCACCCTCACCCCTTGGCAAGAAAGATGTGGGAAGATTCAGAAGTCGCTGGCTGGCTGCAAAGACCCTCTCAAAATGGAGCTCAAACACATTCTAGTAGCTTCTATAGAGACTGCCAGGAGAGACCCAGGCCCATTTGCATGGGCAAGTTTGGGTATTTTGGTGGGTCACTTGGTGACACGAGTTGGTAGTCACAGCCCCTCCTTCTCTGCAAGCCCACATTCTCTACAGGGCCTTTTCTGTCAAAAGGAAACCACCCCTGTGGCTGCTTTCAGACAGGCGTATGGGGGAGCTTCATGCTCCATGAGTCTTGGTAGTGAAAGGATTAACTTCTGCTTAAATATCACAAGTGTCTCAAAGATGGGACCTGAGGTGCACACCCAAGCCCCCAAAAGTGACTTCTCTTTTGATTTCATTTTGACAAGTGCATCTACAGCCACTTACTGGATGTCAGGCAATTTTCTAATCATTTTATAAAATATGGAGTCATTTAATGATCCTGATAACCATATTAGTAGGATTACTACCCTTCTTTCAATTTCAAAATGCATTTATTGAGCATTTTACAAATGAAGAAAGTGAGTCAGTTAGTTACTCTGTGACTCACTTTCTTCAAGGTCACATAGCAAAGCCAAGATCAGAATCGAGGCACTCTGGCTCCAGAATTTTCTCAACATAATTGTAATTATTTTAAAATGTATTTATCTGGGGCTGGCACTGTCATGCAGGGGTTAACCCACTGCCTGTGATGCTGCTGGCATCTCGTATGAGCGCAGGTTCTAGACCCAGCAATTCCACTTCCAGGCCAGCCCCTTGCTCAGGTGCCTGGGAAAGCCGCAGATGATGGCTCCAGTACCTGGGCCCCTGCCATTCACATGGAGACCTGTATGGAGTGCCAGGCTCCTGGCTTCAGCCTGGCCCAAATCTGGCTGTTGCAGCCATTTGGGAACTCAACCAATGGACAGAAGCAAGCTGTCTCTCCCCCTCCCACCCTCCTCTGCCACACGCGCTCTCTCTGCCACCCCCCGTAACTGTTCCTTTAAAATAAATATTTTTAAAAGCTCATTTACTTATTTTTATTTATTCAAAAGGCAGTGTGACACACACACACACACACACACACACACACACAGAGATTCCATCCACTAGTTTATCCCTCAACTGCCCACAATAGCCAGAGCTGGGACAGGCTAAAATCAGGAGCTAGGAGCTTCATCTGGGCCTTCCACATGGGTGGCAGGGGCCCAGGTACACATGCCTCCCATGTTGTGCATTAGCAGGAAGTTGGATTGGAAGTAGAACCAGGACTTGATCCTAGGCACTCTAGTATGAGATGTGAGTAACCCTGGTGGTGGCTAAATCCATGGCGTCACAATGCCCATCCCCAACTCTAGAATTTGGGCTTTTGGGCACCATGCTAAGCTACCCAGACCCGTGTTTTGCTGGAAATCTGTACACCTATTAGAAATGTTTCCAGCTGCAAGTAAAGAACAACCCAGTTTAGGGTGGCTTCCAACAAAGAGGATTGCGTCCTGTAGCGAGAAGTCTGGAGGGAGTCTGCTGTCTTGCACTGATAGGAATGAGACAGCTCACCAGCGCTGTCAAAGATCCACCTCTTTCTTCTTTTCCGTACTGGTCTCCTTCTGTTGGCTCATCTCATGCTTACAAGATGGCTGCTACAATTCAGATATCATAAATGCCAATCGACACAACTTGTACCCCGTAAATCTGTGCCATTACTGCGTCAATTAATTAAATGAAACTAGGAAAAATGTACCAGAAAACTCTTAAACTCAACAATCAAACAATCCAATTTTAAAAATCAGAAAAAGACCCAAAAAGAAGATAGGCAGATCACAAATAAAGTTAATGTATGAAGAGATGTTCCACATGTCATCAGGAAAATGCAAACTGAAACAACGAGATGCCAGTACAAACCTATTACAAACGGACAAAATCCAAAACATTAACAACACCCAGTGCTGGTGAGGTTTTGTAGCAAACTGTTGGTGGGAAAGCACACATGTTAGCTTCATTCATTATTGCAAAAACCTGGAAGAAACCAAGATGCAGGGTGTGAATGAATCAATCAGCTATGGTACAGAAGACTGCCAAGTACTGAGACAATGACGATCAGGCCTTGGAACTACTTGGAGGAATCTTAAATGCAGATGACTAAGCGAGAGAAGCTTGTAGCTTGTATAAAAACCTAACATTGTATATGATTCCAACTATGTGACTACCTGGAAAAGACAAAACTACGGAGACTTTAAGCTATCAGTGGTGGCTGTCAGAGGTTAGGAGGGAGGGCGGGATAAACAGATGTTGTCTATCTGGATGATACTGGAATGGTGGCTAATACTAAACATTTATTAACACCCACAGAACCATACGGCACAGGGAGGAGAACCCAATGTGAACTAAGGACTCTGGCCATCATGTGTCAATACTGGGTCATAAATTATGACAACTGTGCCACATTCATGCAAGGGGCTAATCACAGGTATGGGGGAAGGGAGAGGGAGCAAGGCGGAACTCTACTTTTAACTCCACTTTTTTATAAACCTACAACAGCTCAAAAAATTAGTCTATTAATTAAATACATATATACAGCTTAACTACATTCATACTCACTGATTCAATGTTTCCACTAAACAAGATTCTTTTGAGATAAGGGAACATACTAGAAGGAAAACTTTATTTACAGAAGATGAAAAAATCAGCATCCTATAGTTAGTTCCTTACTAACAGCCACAGAGACAAAAGCAGATTTCAAAGTGGGATTTGAAAAGCTTGTGGAAAAACACACACAATGCTGGTGGAAACACACAATGGAGAAAAGGCAAAAAATCACCTTAAAGTAATAACTATGTGAAAGAAAAGAACTGTATAAAGTGACACAAGTGGATTATAGCACATCCTTAATGACACATTGCTCTTATGTTACCAACAGTCATGAGATCATGGACAACTTTTTAATTCTTTCTTCTAATGTGCTTTCCATACCTCCAGTTGGCTTCTGCCTCTGTGGATTCAACCATCTTGGATTGAAAATATTTTAAAAAGAAATTGCACCTGTTTGGAACATGCACAGACTTGTCCCCTTGTCATTACTCCCTAAACAAAACAGCACAGCAACCACTTAAAAAGCCATTACATTATATTAGGTATTTTAAGTAATGAGGCAATGATTTAAGTACACAGAAGGATTGCAGAGGTTATATGCAAATACTGCATCATTTATATAAGGTACTGCAGCATCCACTGACTGAGATCTTTGGGGTGACATAGTACCAAGCCGCCATGGACATTGAGGGATGACAGTATATATATAAAAGATCTACTGATCCCGTAGTGAGGGGAGAAAAGACAAGAGTAAGGGGAGAAGCTGGACAGCTAACAAGCCTTGCACCCCATCCGCCTCCTCCACCACCATTTCCTGGGAACTTACTGCAAAGAGGTCACTGTCGTCAGTTCTTTAAGGTCCAACTCCTTTGGGGTAACTCACTCAGGGTTGCAAAGCCTGATGATATGGGGATGTTTAGGGGCAACCAGAGCATTTGCCCCTTGAAGCAGTGTTGTGTCGTCACCGGAGGAACTTGGAGCATACAAAGATAAAAGGTAGACAGAAACTCAAAGAGCAGGTGAGCAGGCTGAGAATCTACTCGCTCCCTTACCCACCCACCAAGCTGTCATTTATGGCCTCTTTACAAAAGGACAAGCACTGGAGATGCACACGTGAATTAATGAAATATCTAGCCTTTAGGAACTCTGGGGCTGGCACTGTGGGTAAAGCGATGCTGGCATCCTGTGTGGGCACTAGTTCAAGTCCCTGCACTCCCTGCTAATGTGCCTAGGAAAAGCAATGAAAAATGGCTCAAGTGCTTGGGCCCTTGCACCCAAGTGGGAGACCCAGAAGCTGCTCCTGGCTTCTGGCTTAGGTCTGGTCAGTGGCGATTTTAGGAGTGAACCAGCGAATGGAAGATCTTTCTCTCTCCCTCTCTCTCCCCCTCCCTCCCTCTCTATAACACTTTCAAATAAATCTAAAAAAAAAAAAAAAAAAACAACCCTCAGTGTAGCCTCCCGAGAACGGAAAGTTATGCTCACTGGAGAAGAGGCCAGGATGACAGGTGGGAACCAGACTCTGCCATCAGCCCTGGACGTTATCACCTTCTGCCCCCTCCACTGTGCTGCACCTGGAGGGCAGGAAGCATCCACAACCCTCTGTTGCCCGTGCTTGTGCAGTTAAGCTGACTTGGGGTCAGGGAATTCGGTTCTCATGCTACCCCTGCCCAGCCCCACAAGATCAAGCATTCAGATCAAGTACTGTGAATCACAAGTCAGGCTGACTCATTGCTTGAAGTCTGCACCCTGAATGAGAACAGTATTGACGGCTTGGAGGAGGATCAAATACAGGGAGAGACAATGCAACCTACATTGCCCCAATCCGCCACAAACCTGATTTGCAAGCATCTTAGAAAAATGAAGAATGCAGTTGCTAAAACCTTTGCCGTGAGCGAGGGGGTGAGGTCGGTGAGTGGAACAACTCACCATTCTTTCTGCTTTCTAACTCATTTACCACGTATACCTCGTCAGTCATATTCTTTCTACTCCCTATGCTGTTTTTATTTTGGTTAATGTGAACCGTACCCACTATGGACTTGGGGAAGCTCAGTTAGATTCAGAACCTATAAAATCAGGCTTTTTTCCCACAGAGGGAAGGGAGGAAACAGGTAAAGAACCTGCTGTGGAGTGGCTGTTTTATCTCATGAAGACCCAGCAGGGCAGGAAGTGGAGGCTGCTGGGGGAGGTTAAGCCACTTGCCCCAAGGAGCTCAGCCACCGAACAGGACCAGAGACTCTGGCTGGCCCCATTCCCGTACACAGGTACTCAACTGGGAAACCCTTCTTAACCAAAGGGGTCTACAGGAACAGAAGCCCACCGAAAACAAAGTGTGAGGTCCAGGAAAGCCAAACCCACCGAGACTGGCAAGCCAAGGCTCCCACAGACCTTTCACAACCATTAACTCTGACCTTTCACGAGCAGAATCTCGCTGGGTCTCCAGACCAATGTGTGATGCTAAACCAAGGGGCTGGAACTCACAGCACATGGGAAATCCTGACTGAGACCCTCAGGAAACCACTGGCATCTGAATCAGGTCCTGTGACCCTTGTGGCCCTGCGCCCCACAGCAGGGGAATACCCTTTGTCCTCACCTCAACCCTGCCACACAGCCCCACGACTCAGGGGAGAAAATGCCACCTTTGAATCATTGCTGCTCAGGACTCTCTGGAGGGCTCGGCCTGTGTCACCAGGGCCCAGAGCAGGTGCACAATGCTGCCATGAAACACCATTTCATGGAGTTTGGTGGTCCCTAAGAATGCCTCATCAATACATGAATCAACTCACAAGACAACCTGTGTGCAGCTGACAAGGCTCAGAAACGGCAGGTGAAACACACGATGGGTGTGGTTCAGACTTTTTGTTGTTGTTTTCATGAATACCTGGCTCATATGGAATCATGCTGTCAATAGAGGGAAACCCAGAGAAGGTTCTGTGTCCTGCCCAAGAACACACAGCTGGAATTAGACAAACCTGGAAGTGAGAATCAGGGACCCATAATCTCTTTACCCAATGCCATGCTGCTCAGAACAAAAAGATCAAGCAAAACAAAACACTTGTTTAAACTGAACGGCCAAGCAACAGGAAATGGAAGTGAAATCCAAAGGTGGGTGATCATGGCTCTTTGTGACATCATCTCAGCCGAGAACTCTGGGCAGCAGCTCTACCAGGAATCGCCTTTCCCACTCCAACAATGGAGGGAGCGCTAACAATACCGGCTCTGGATCAAAGCAAGTGACAACTGCAGGCTCTATTATTCAGGGTCTGAAATGAAAGAGGCTCACTGAGTCCATTGTGCAGATGAGAAAAAAACAGTCAAGGGACAGGGGATGGTCCATCCAGGGAAACCGCGCAGGCAAAGGCAGGCCTGACGGTAGCCCCACCATCACCCTCCAGTCCTGTGAATTCCTGAAGTGCAGTACAATTCCCCAGATTTTGAGGACAAGGGGATTTAGTCCATCTGCCATCTCTTAGCATTTCACATAATTCTACCTGTCTAGCATAATCTCCAACACGGGTAGCTGACTTCGATGAAATGTGGCTACCAACAGATAGTAGTGGATGTGCTTAGTTTGTCAACATCCACATGAGAAGGGATCTGGAAGTATGATGAATGGGAAATCAGAGAATTTATGCATTTCATCCAAAGAAAAGATAGCATACCCACCCAATGCAATAAAATGATGTAGCAGCCAACAAGGAGGCAGCTAACGTGCATAGCACTCCTTGATTTGTTGCTGAGTGGAGGAGGGTAAACTACAAAATACTGTTTATCACAGGTCTAGAAAAGACCATCAAGTGTGTTCATGCATGTGTGTGTACACATAAATGCATTAGCAAGACTTGCAAGTCAAATGGTAACCAATGTTGCCTAAACAGAGACAGTGAGTAGACAAGGATATGGGATGGTAACCAAAAGGGACTTCTTTATTATTTGGAAAGTTTATTTTTTTCAGGTTGAATGTCATAAAATATTAACTACTAAAAAAATACAGAGAAAACAGAAAAAACTTAGATTGTAATGGTGCATGGTTATTCCTTCCCTATCTGAGCACCTACTATGTGCCAGGCATGGAACAAGGTGAAAAACGTGGCTCCACCAACAATACTTTGTTGTGAGAGAGGTTTATTTGCTTAGTAAGTGCTGTGGCTTGCGGCCCCCAGAAGTTCATATGTTAGAAACTCAGTACCCAAAGTCACATGCTGATGGTATCTGGAGGTGAAGCTTTTGGGAGGTGATTAGGTTGAGATGAGGTCATGAGGGTGGGGCTCCCACAAAGGCATCAGTGGCTCCGGAATGAGCCTAAATCAATCCTACTCCCCACAAATGTCCCAGTCTCGGGAATTCTGTTACTGCAGCAGAAAGCATCCCAACTCCACAAGCGTGCTGAGGGACATGACAAGTGCTCTGCTCAGAGAAGAAAACAGAGCCCAGGCAGAGAACAGAGACGGTGACGTCCACATCTCACGGGGGCTGCACCGGCCACAACAGGGTCCCCGGGGCATTCCGAGTGATCTGCCACCTTTGCCGATGGGCAAATCTTTCCCAGTTGTAATGGAATTTCCGTTGCCTTTGGTGACAGCTGGAGTTCACAAAGGAATGTCATAGGAGAAAGGACAGCTCACAGACATGGAGCCCCTTCGCACAGGAGTTAGTGTTGCTGCTTCTGAAAGCCGCGGGAGCATCCGCTGTCTTTATCAGTACATATGACTTACTTGGCTAGACTAGAAAAGGCCTCCACCAAAACTGCTATTTCGACTTGGGTTTCTAAAAATAACTCAGAAGACTGCAGTATGAGAGGAAGATGGCCACACACAGCTCCAGGGAGGAAAATATAAGCATTTGAGTTGAATTACCTAAGAGCTGAAATTGAGTGCAAATATCTCCTTGTAGCAACTGCTATGTAATTAGCCACCCTAATGGAATCCTTTCAAAACCAAGGCCATTCAACAAGGAAGTTTAATTGAAAATAAAATTTCCAGACTAACTATTCTGTCAAAAACACATTAAACGAAGATAGCTCAGCAGTGACCAAATCGCTGCTACAAAGTATTAAGTGCTATGAGAGACAGGGCTGTGTAGGGGGAAATGGTGGCAATTTTCCAGGCTCCTTTTTCACAGTTTCATGTGTCTTCTTGTCTCTTGGTTAAAGTCTTCAACTGTCTCTTGGTCGTCCTCACCTCTAGGGCTGGCGCATCGTACTCTCCTGCAAAGAAGGGACCCAGGATTAAAATCTCAAGAGCTGAAGCATGCAAATGCCACCAGCCATCCAACCTGCTCATGCCCCACCCAAGGACACGTTCCACTGTGGAAGACCACGTCCATCCTGCACTGGCTCGCATGGGGTGACAGTGACTGGAAGCTGTCACTTCATACTGGGGCACTCATCTTTGCCACTCACCTTTAGCTGTGTCACTTCATCTGTGTCACTTAACCTCTCAAAGCAGCAGTGTTTTTCTTCTTAAACAAAAAGAGTTCTCTCTACATCTCCCAGATGGTCAAAAAAATGAAATGTGTGCGTGCTCAATGTGGTGCAAGGGCTAGAGAGTGGTACAGTGAGCAGCAGGGGGAAGGATCCTTCCTTCTAATCCAGCTGAGTGCCTGAACCACAGCCTAGATGTTGCCTGAGAGGCCAGTAGGAGTGCAAAAGCTCAGCCTACACAGAAAAACTGATGGAGAATCGGCAGTGAATGGAGCGTTCCAGCAGATTTGTGTGTGATCCCAACTGATGCCTGGCTGGCCTGCCCCATCCCAAGGTGTGTGCTTATGCATCAGGTGACCGTATCAGGAAGAAGGAACGTCACCGCCGTGGGGGGGGGAAGCAGGTGTGGCACACGTCTGGAGAAGCACCCCGGACTGCACCGAGCCTCTCTACCTCCTGCCCTCCTGAGGCTCACCAATGGGTTCTCTGCTGTAGGCTGGGTGCATGGCCCCATGACCCAGGCGACCCTGTGCTCAGTGGGAGGCCCTGGCTCCACAGAGGAGCACAGTAGCAGCTGCTGGAAAGCAAATGGGCATGGGGGCCTCGTGACCTCAGGAGAAGATGTGACAGTGCAACAGGCAGCCGCCTCTTCCCTCAGTCACTGGCGCAGCCTGTGCACTACCAAGCCCCACCACCTTGTGTAATAAACAAGGGAGCAGTGTGTACACATACACAAGCTCTGTACACACGCCCCCTCTAGGGTCATCGGCTGTTCACCCTGGCATTGACTGCTGCCGGGAAGGGGAAGCCTGTGGGTTAGTAATGGAGGAGGGAAAGCAGGAGCAGAAACACAATGGTTGCCATAGCACCCATGTGACTGATCAACAGAGGAAGCTGTTACCTGCAGAAATACCGTTCCCGACAGGTGCTGGGCCCCGCCTGTCCCCAGCTGACACTCTACCTTGGAGTCACAGCATCGGGCCAGAGCTTTGGTGCTTTGCCCTTAGAAATTTCCTACTGCTCTCTGTCTCTGGGAGTCTGCAGGAAGCCCAAGAGGCAACGGGAATGGGTCTGAGTCTGCATGGCAAGAAAGATGGCTGTTTCCAAAAGGAGTCAGGCAGCTGTAATCCTCAGGGCAACCGACACATTTCCGTGCTGGCTCACCGCTTCCAAAATTCTTGCAAAGGGCTAATCAAACAGACTGAGGGGAGATCCTCGGACAGAGGAGGCAGCTGGGCTCAGAAGGTTGGCTAGATTTAGAAACCTGCTCTAGGAGACCATGTGGACTGCCGAGTCGTTGATCAGCTGCTGCTCCATTAAACCAACCCCAGTTCTGTTCAGGCACAGGGCAGACAGCAACGTGTAGAGGCAAGAACGGATCCTGCCCTTGCAGCAGCCAAGGCAATCCTGTCATCTCGGCCAGCGACTGGCCAGGAGGACACCTGGCCCAGTCTGGTTAATGAGACACAAGGGGGAAGTCTCCTGGGGATTTCTGGGGAAAATCTTCCCTACCAGGAGATCGAGAGTTGCAGCAGAAAGCCCACTGCTGAGAGGCTGATCCGGGGCCCGCCACAGCTGAGCTGTGAAACGCGTCCCCTCTGATATATCAGATACTACCAGGTGCTGGCGAGGATGTGGGGAAACAGAAACACTGAGCGTGGCTGGAGGGAGCATAAACGGCCACAGTCATTCTGGAAATCACTCTGGTAGGACTTGTGAAATGAAGCATGCGTGTGCTGTGACTCATCCACACAGCGTGTCCACACAGCTGAAACTCTCCCACAGTCCACGAGGGCACTCGTCACAGACCAGGTCACCCAGGATCCGTCAGCAGGGGACAAGACAGGTGAACAGGAGAGGACCTGCAGGAGGGGAGGGAAGAGGCAGCCCACATCGGAACAGGGGTACCCAGAACGTCAGCGCTAGATTATTCTGGCTTGATTATGATTTGAGCATGACACAATATAGCAATGTTGACAGGTGGTGGGACCTTTAAGATGTGGAGCAAATGGGAGGTAACTGGGGGTGGAGGAATTAAGGTGGCTCCCGGGAGCCCCTGCCTTAGCTCTCGGAAGAGGGTTGTTATCAAAAGAACAAGACTGGTCCCTCTCTGCTCTCCAGCCATGTGATCACTCCCTGTTGCAAGCACTCACTGTGTGATGCCATCTGCCAGGGTGCCTTCACCAGACTGGTATATCGCCCTGCCCTTGAACCTCCAGAAGTGCAAGCTAACCTAATCTCTTTTCTTTATAAGGCACCAAGCCCCAGGACTGTTTTTTTTTTTTCAAACAGACTAATACAGTGATCTAAAAAATATAGTGCTGACTAAGAAGAAAAGCCAGATTGAGATCTGTAACAGAATCCCATGTGTCTACCTGCTTTCAAAACAGCTACCCAATCAGAACAAGAAAGGACTGCGTACCCACACAGAGCATGCAGCAGACACAGAGTAGATGCTGATGGGTGTGTGTGTGTGTGTGTGTGTGTGTGTGTGTGTGAAGGCACTGAGAATGGAAAGGCCAGAAAAGGAAGTAAGGGATGGGTCTTGCAGAGACCATGACGTGCCCTGAATGGAGGAAGCCTTTGTAATAAAATACAGTAGAAAAAACACAACCAGATACAGAGTCGGGAAATCCAGGTGTGAGTGCTCCCATGACTCTCACTGGCTATGAGCCTTTCACAAACAACTTAGTGGAGCCTCAGTGCCGCATCTTTAAAAAGCAGGTGTGGGGGCCGGTGCTGTGGTGTAGCGGGTAAAGCTGCCGCCTGCAGTGCCAGCGTCCCATATGGACTCCTGTTGAAGCCCAGGTGCTCCACTTCTGATCCAGCTCTCTGCTATGGCCTGGGAAAGCAGTAGAAGTCCTCGGGCCCCTGCACCCACGTGGGAGACCCAGAAGAAACTCCTGGCTCCTGGCTTTGGATCGCCACAGCTCTGGCCATTGCGGCCAATGGGGGAGTGAACCAGCGGATGCAAGACCTCTCTCTCTCTCTCTCTCTCTTTCTCTCTCTGCCTCTTTTCTCTCTGTGTAACGCTGACTTTCAAATAAATAAATATTAAAAAAAAAAAAAGGACAAGCAGGTGTGAAGAATGGCCCCAAAGAGCCCTCTTGTCAGCTCTGAGGTCACGTGTGGAGAGCCTGAAGGAACACAGCAACAGCCACAAGCTCTGGGGACTTGACTTCCTGGTCTGTAAAATGGGGATAATCCTATTACCCCCCCGCCCCAGCACAATCATGAGGTGTGAAGGAGACGTGGATGGGAGGGATATGAGACACACTTTCGGGACTGCTGGATACACAGGGGAGGAAAACAGAGTGACCTTCCTAAGCTCATGCCCGTGTGCAGCCCTGTGCCTCAGGCTCACCACTTGTCTGCGGTGTGAGGCCCGGGAGGCCCTAACCCCTGGAAGCACTGCCACCCTCTCTGCTGAGTGCGGCAGAAACGCCCCATGACACGTGACACGCAACATGCCTGGCTCCCACTGCCCTGCAATGAAGCACACACACCCCGTGACACATGACACACGACACACCTGGCTCCCGCTGCCCTGCAATGAAGCACACACCCCCCATGACACGTGACACATGACACGCCTGGCTCCCGTTGCCCTGCAGTGAAGCCACTCTGGGAGCACACACGCCCCGTGACACGTGACATGCGACACGCCTGGCTCCCGCTGCCTTGCAGTGAAGCACACACCCCCCATGACACACGACACACAACACCCCTGGCTCCCGCTGCCCTGCAGTGAAGCACACACCCCCCATGACACATGACACACGAAACGCCTGGCTCCCGTTGCCCTGCAGTGAAGCCACTCTGGGAGCACACATGCCCTGTGACACGTGACACACGACACGCCTGGCTCCCGCTGCCCTGCAATGAAGCACACACACCCCGTGACACATGACACACGACACACCTGGCTCCCGCTGCCCTGCAATGAAGCACACACCCCCCATGACACGTGACACATGACACGCCTGGCTCCCGCTGCCCTGCAATGAAGCACACACACCCCGTGACACGTGACACACAACACACCTGGCTCCCACTGCCCTGCAATGAAGCACACACACCCCATGACACATGACACACGACACGCCTGGCTCCCGCTACCCTGCAGTGAAGCACACACACCCCGTGACACATGACACACGAAACGCCTGGCTCCCGTTGCCCTGCAGTGAAGCCACTCTGGGAGCACACATGCCCTGTGACACGTGACACACGACACGCCTGGCTCCCGCTGCCCTGCAATGAAGCACACACACCCCGTGACACATGACACACGACACACCTGGCTCCCGCTGCCCTGCAGTGAGGCACACACACCCCATGACACGTGACACGTGACATACCTGGCTCCCACTGCCCTGCAGTGAAACCACTCTGGGAGCACACAAGGCCACGGGCATTCACAAAGAGATTTTTCTTTCCTTCTTTGGATGGGAATAATTTGAACTGAATAAGCAGGTTACAAAAAGGAGAAAGAACAAACCACCGTACTCCTGTTACCCCAAGTAGGTAGATGCTTCGTTTTTCTCAGAACGACCGGTTTCTCTCTCTCTATGGATTTTGCATCGTCCCAGGCAGGACACAACACCCACGTGCCTGTCACATCCCAGATGGCACTGCTCTCGGAAGGGGCCACCTCTCTTCCACCAGGACTCCTCAGACATCTGGAAAGCTCCACAGAGCAGCAGTACCACAGACCCCTGGAGACCCTTCGATTTTGCCCCAAAATGCAGCCAGCTTCAAGAAACCCCTTCATACACAGCCCTCTCTTTGCCTAGAACACTTATCCTTCTCCTCCTCCTCCTCCCCCTCCCTCCTCCTCCCCCTCCCTTTCCCCCTTCTTTCTCTATTTAAAAGCAAGATTTATTGAAGTCAGAGACGTCCTGTTAGAGCGGTAGAAAGAAGCCTAGTGCAAGACTTCTAAGTGAACTCCCCACACAGCGACACAGGCCAACCCAGACCTTAATATCTCCTAACAAATTCTTCCAGAAGGCTCATTTTCACTGCCACTAGCAATGGAGGCTTCCACTGGGCTCCCTACAAATCCTGACAGGAAACTCCAAAACCTATTTTTCTGCCATTGGGTAACTAGTCAGGAATGAGATGCCACGGGTGCTCTGTTCTGATGAGCACCGCTGTGACTCCCAGGGATCCAACTTCACAGAGGCTTTCTTCTCCTCCTTGGAGGTTGTCTATTTAAGAATGTGCACGAGGCCAGCGCTGTGGCGTAGCGGGTATAGCTGCCGCCTGCAGTGCCAGCATCCCATGTGGAGCCGGATGCTCCACTTCTGATCCAACTCTCTGATATGGCCTGGGAAAGCAGTGGAAGATGGCACAAGTCCCTGGTCCCCTGCTCCCGCGTGGGAGACCCAGAAGCAGATCCTGGTTCCTGGCTTCAGATCAGCACAGCTCCGGCTGTTGCAGCCAACTGGGGAGTGAATCAGCGGATGGAAGACTTCTCTCTCTATGTAAGTCGGACTTTCAAATAAATAAATGAATCTTTAAAAAAAAAGAACACACACATCTTTTTTTTAAAGGCTTTTATTTCAAAGGCAGAGTTAGAGAGAGGGAGACAAAGAGACAGACAGAGACAGAGCCAGAGAGAAAGAGAGAGAGAGAGATCTTCCATCCACTGGCACAAGGCTGAGCCAGTGACTGGGTCTCCCATGTGAGTGGCACAGCCCAAGGAGTTGGGCCATCTTCTGCTACTTTCCCATGCACATCAGCAGGGAACTGGATGGGAAGTGGAACTCGAACTGGTGTCATGTCTCATCCTGCATTGTAGGCCACTGTTTAACCTGCTATATCACAATGCTGGCCCCTACTCACACCTTCTTATTCTTCTTCTTAAGATTTATTTATTTAAGGCTGGGGCCACGGCTCACTGGGCTAATCCTTCGCCTTGCGGAGCCGGCACACCAGGTTCTAGTCCCGGTCGGGGCGCCGGATTCTGTCCCGGTTGCCCCTATTCCAGGCCAGCTCTCTGCTGTGGCCAGGGAGTGCAGTGGAGGATGGCCCAAGTACTTGGGCCCTGCACCCCATGGGAGACCAGGAGAAGCACCTGGCTCCTGCCATCGGATCAGCGTGGTACACTGGCTGCAGCGCATTGGAGGGTGAACCAACGGCAAAAGGAAGACCTTTCACTCTGTCTCTCTCTCTCACTGTCCACTCTGCCTGTCAAAAAAAAAAAAAAAAAGATTTATTTATTTATTTATTCTAAAGAGTTACAGAGACAAAGAGGAAGAGGGAGAGAGATACAGAGACAGAGAGAGACAGAGAGATCTTCCATCTGCTGGTTTACTCCCCAGATGGCCACAATGGCCAGGGCCAGGCCAAAGCCAGGAGCCAGGAGCTTCTTCCAAGTCTCCCATGTGGGTGGCAGGGGCCCAAGGACTTGGGCCATCTTCACTGCTTTCCCAGGCCATAGCAGGGAGCTGGATTGGAAGTAGAACAGCCAGGACATGAGCCAGCACCCGTAAGGGATGCCAGGTCTCAGGCAGCCACCTTACCTGCTACGCCACAACGCTGGCCCCCTCACATCTTCTTAAGGAGGCTCTTCCTAAAGAGGTTTTCAGCTCATAGAGAGGCCTCTTTCCCACAGACACATCTGAACAGTGCCAGTCCTGAGACATGGGGGAAAACTGGGACTATGAGAAAGTTTGGGGGTAGAAGCCTAAAATCTCCCGAGAAGCAAGGAGAAACAGAGTAACAAATTGGAGCATTTGCATGGAAAACTGCAGTTACAATCCAAGGTCCACGGAAGACACATCCGTGCAGAGTGTGTGCACGTGCTGCTGGCACAGGGCAAAGGTCCATGGGAAAGAAGGCTGGAGACGCGGTTAGCTGAGACGATGCCTCTGGGGTTCAGGAACGCTGTACAGTACAGTGTAGAGATCACTTAATCATTTTTATTATACATTATGTCAAGGCAGACAGAGAGAGAGAGAGAGAGAGAGAATCAGAACCTTCCATCCACTGACTCACTCTCCAAATGCCTGCAACAGCCAGGGCTGGTGGCCCAACCAAACCCAGGAGTCAGGAAATAAAATGTGTTGATTTCCAAAAAGATAAACAAAAATTTACTTTCAAATAAGACAAACACAAAGAGGTGAGTCTGAGAACAGGAAAATAAGAGGCATGTCGAGAGTGGAAAGGAACAGAAGGCTAAGTAAGGACGTAAGGCAGTAAGAAGGCTAAGTAAGGACGTAAGGCAGTAAGAAAAGCTCCTCTCATCCTTTAACCCCTCCCCGGGGCATCCCTTAGGGCCAAGGATGCAGGCAAGTTCCTTCTGTGTAGGAGGAAGCCCCTCCCCTCCCCCTCCTACTCACTCCTGGCTCCAGCTGTGCAGCCCCCAGGCCCTCCAGCAGCTGGGCCTCCACTGAGCACTCCCTCTGGCCTCTCTGTCAGGCTCATTCCCACACTTCCCCGGGAAGCCCCTCACGCAGACAGGCTGCTGGATCCCATCCCGCCAGGATTCCTCCGTGTTCCTCATCCCGAACTTCAGGACAGCGATGGTCGCGCCAGGCTGGCTCCATGCCGACCTGCAGCTGCGAAGGGCAGCATTTCAGAAAGCAGCGACTCACTTGCAGGATGCCAGAAAGGAGAAGAAGGGCCTGGGGATGAGAGGCAGAATGGGCTGAACAAAAAAGAGAGGGAGGGTGGCCCCTAGATGACACCGCTTCGGTTTTCCCCTTCTACTCCCTAGCCCCACACTGCCAATCCAGCTGATTCTTGAAAAACGTATTTCTTAAGTGCCTGGTATCACCAAGACACTGTGGTGAGGAATTGCAAAACCAAGGCCATTCCTTGAGTGTATAACCTAGCTAGGGAGTCAAGACTTCAACAAGAGGAATGTCAGATAATTACAAAGGAATGAAGCATAAGATAATAAAACTAGTCCGTTGGCGCCGGCACTGTGGTATAGTGGCTAAAGCCACTGCCTGCAGAGCCAGCATCCCATATCAGCACCGGTTCGAGTCCTGGCTGTTCCACTTCTGACCCACTTCCCTGCTAATGCTCCTGGGAAAGCAGCGGAGGCCAGTCCAAGTGCTTGGGCCTCTGCCTCGATGTGGGAGATTTGGAAGAGGCTCCTGGCTCCCAGCCGTGGCTGTTGTGGCCAGGAGAGAGCCAGCAGATGGAAGATTTCCTGTTCTTTGCCTCTGCCTCTCTCTCTCTCTAACTCTGCCTTTCAACTGAATAAATCAATCTTTAAAAAAAAACTGTCAAGGATGTGTCGAGTGGGGGCCTTGCGTTGTGTGGACTCAGGGCCACCCTGGCTGCAGAAGAAAGTCCTCTGAGAACCCAACTTGAAGGAGGGTCATCAGACTGTGGGGTTGTGAAGGGGCATCCCAGGGATTGGGGTGGAAGGGAAGGCTGCACGTTCAGGGGCTGGCAAGGAGCCTAGGAGGCTGGAATAGGAAGGGGTCAAAATTTTGAGGATCCTGAAAGCCAGGCAGGGGAGTCAGAGCTGGGAAAGATAGCATAAAGCAGCAGCCAGTGACAGTCTGAGGCAGGCTTCAGGAGAGACAAGACAAAGAAGCCAGTGAGGAAGTTCATCCAACAGCTACCAGTAGGGGTGGAAGCACTTGACACTAGAGCTGCCACATCCCACCTGTGAGCACCATGGCCCCACCTGTCCATCCAAGCACACTGTCCCGCAGAGCCCAGGTGGGACCTAGAATTCTTTCCCACTCAGGGATCAAGGGAGCGCCTACCAATCCATCCAGGGAGACGGTTCCACCGTTTCCCTTGCAGGTGGCATCAGTCAGGAGTAGTGATGTTATGCTACCTTAACAATATCCCCAAGTTTCCATGGTTTAAAGCAGCAGAGAAAGACAAATTCCTCTCTCAGATCAGGGCCAAGCAGAGACTGCACTCAGTGGCAGCACCAGGGCAGCTTTGATATCTGTTGGGCATCAGGACCGATGAGAAAGAGACCTCTGGAGGGGCACTCACTAGCACAGAAGGGATGCTTCAGTTGGCCAGGATTGGCCACAGTGGGCCAAGAAGTGGCATCTGACTCTCTGGGAAACAGAAAAGAGGCAGGATAAAGGAATGGTTTAAGTACAACACCTTCCTTGGCACCTGGAATTTATTATTCATTCATCCCACTAATATAAGAATGTATCGTATGATGGCATACCCTACACCCAGCCATTCCCCCTCTTATTATGTACTCTTCTACTTTCTTTGTAGTATTTGGCACTACCTGAAATGCTGTATAACTTATGAATCTGTTGTCTTTTATGGCCTGTCTCCCAGACTAGGATATAAACTCCATATCTGCCTGGTTTGCAGTGCTGGGCACACAGTAGGTACTCAGCAGATGTCTGTCAAGTAAGTGAATAAAAACATTCAGTGAGGTCAAGTGTGTCTTTAGTTTATTCACTGCTATACGCCAACATGCACAATGTCCAGCACACTGTCGGAATTCACTGAGCTGCTGAGAAATCAGCCAGCTCTTCATGCCTCAGCAGCTCTTCCTCTGCAGGGATGCAGAGTGAAACTGCAATGCTGGTTAGCAGTTCCAAACCCGAAGGTGGTCACCCGAGGACCACCCTTCTTCCCCCTGCATCCCCCAGGGCTCAGGAACCAGGGTCAGGCCAGCCTAAGGACAGAGACACCAAAGGAGACGGAAGCCAAAGTAAAAGAGAGATGAAGAAGAAACTAGGGCAAGGGACCAGCCCAGGGGCACTCCTGCACACACAGGCCAGCTGAAGTCACAGGCGCCCTTCTGACCTCTCCAGGAACATGCTGCGTGAGGCTCTGGGTGCTGAGTCAGTGCCCTCTGGGCCTCACTTTCGCTGATGACAGAGTCTGGGCACCAGAGAAGGGCATCTCGAAAGGTCCTCCCAGATCTAAAGTCCTAGGAACGAGAAAGCACCCAGGGCCATTTCTCAAGTAGGGCCCATGGGTTAGGATTTTTTCCAAGGCTTTCCTGAGCCTCACATACATCAGATACATCAAACACACTCATATCCTACATTAAAAATGATTCCTATATAACTGCAAAAGTTAAGCTTCACTGGAGAAGTTGACGCAAATTCTATAAATACGTGCAAGTAATTCCATCTTGCGGCTTTGTTTTCATATTCTTCAACTAATCATTTCATATGTTAGTTCTCAAAAATGAGTCTGTGGATGCTTGAAATGCAGATAGGTCCAGGCACTGTTTATACTGACTATTAATTAGTCCAACAGATCTATCTGAGAAGTTTGGTAAAAATGTCACTTGCTGGGCCATACTCCAGTCAGTACCAGCAAGAAAAACCTGGTAGGGCTGGGGACAGGAATCCACTTAAATATATATATATATATTTTTTTTTTTTTTTTTGAAAGTCCAACTGAGAGAGAGAGAGAGAGAGAGAGATCTTCCATCCACCAGTTCACTCCCCACTGGGCCAGGCTGAAGCCAGGAGCCTGGAGCTTCACTCACGGCTCACACATGGGCTTAAGCTCTTGGGCCATCTTCCACTGCCTTTCCCAGGCCATTAGCAGGGAGCTGGATTGGAAGTAGAGCAGCCGAGACACAAATCAGCACCCAGGAATCCCCATTTTAGCAGGGTTCCCAGAAGATCCAGTTTGTAAAATGAAGTTTGAGAACCACTACACCAGGAGGGAGCCAGGGAAGGGACTGGGCGGGTGGGGTGGGGAGAGGAGCACTTTAGGAGGAAGTAAGGTTAGCTGCAAAGGTGACCAAAGAAGGGAGATGAAACAGATGACGGCACAAGGCTCACGTTCTGCATGTGTGCTAAGGCACTTCCGCCTGCGTGGGCCATGTGTGTTCCAACAGGGTAAACACCCTTTTCAAAAGTGGCACTCACCCTCATTCACCCTTCCTCCAGCTCCAGAACACAGTATTCACGCTGGATCTCCGAGTACCTCGGCTATGGTGATGTTGTAGAAGGGCTAGCTTTCCGACACATCACTGGGCACAGCACTTGCAGACTGAAGCCACCACTGCCAAGGACTGCAGGAAGAGAAAGAGCGCGGTCACCCAGGAGTTGGCCTGTGAACAGTGCCACTCCCGGCAGCAGCAGATGTGAGTGGCATCAGGAGGCAGTCTTCGCTCATCCGTGTGGAGGGAGGTGTCTTCCACGCCTTTGGATTGATAGATAAAATTGCATGCATTTACCTTGAACAACATGAGGTTTGGAAATAAACGTACACGGTGCAATGACTAAATCAAGCTAATTAATACATGCATCATCTCACACAGTCATCATTTTTGTAGTGAGAACACTTTAGATCCACCTGCTTAGCATTTTAAGAATATAATTCATCATAAACTACAGTCACCCTGTTGGACAAAGATCTCCCAAACTGATTCCTCGGATCTAACTGAAATTGTGTATCCTTGGACCATCAAGAACAGACTCCTCCCTCACCCCCTGCAGCCCAGGGCCTGGTAACCAGCATTCCACTTTCTATTCCTAGGAGGTCACCTACCTTTCTTTCTTTCTTTCTTTTTCTTTCTTTCTTTCTTTCTTTTGAAGATTTATTTATTTATTTGAAAGTTAGAGTTACACAGAAAGAGAAGGAGAGGTCGGGGGGGGGGGCGGGATTGAAGGGGGGAAAGGGAGAGGGAGAGAGAGAAAGGTCTTTCATCCACTGGTTCACTCCCCAGATGGCCCCAACAGCCAGAGCTGTGCCAATCCGAAGCCAGGAGCCAGGAGCCTCCTCTGGGTCTCCCACATGAGTGCAGGGACCCAAGGACTTGTGCCATCTTCTACTGCTTTCCCAGACCATAGCAGAGAGCTGGATTGGAAGTGGAGCAGCCGGGACTTGAACTGGCGCCCGAATGGGATGCCAGCATACAGGCGGCGGCTTTACCCACTATGCCACAGTGCTGGCCCCTGTCACTTTCTTTAGATGCTACATTGAATGATATCATGTGAAATTTGGCTTTCTGGGCCTGGTTTGAGCCACAAACACACAGTGTTGTGCGTGTGCATACACACACACATGTGCACATTCCAAATGCTGTGTGCACGTCTATTTGAGCTTCTGCCATGGGTAGAGGTACAGCCCAGCAATCAGAAGTCACCCAGGAGGCCGGCGCCGTGGCTCAATAGGCTAATCCTCCACTTTGCGGCGCCGGCACACCGGGTTCTATTCCCGGTTGGGGCGCCGGATTCTGTCCTGGTTGCCCCTCTTCCAGGCCAGCTCTCTGCTGTGGCCTGGGAAGGCAGTGGAGGATGGCCCAAGTGCTTGGGCCCTGCACCCCATGGGAGACCAGGAGAAGCACCTGGCTCCTGCCTTCAGATCAGCGCGGTGCACCGGCCACAGTGCACCAGCTGCGGCGGCCATTGGAGAGTGAACCAACGGCAAAAGGAAGACCTTTCTCTCTGTCTCTCTCTCTCACTGTCGTCCACTCTGCCTGTAAAAAAAAAAAAAAAAAAGAGGTCACCCAGGCTCTACTGCTGAGTGCTATTTCCCAAGGTACCAGGAAGGTGCCAGGCTAAAAGGCCAGTTGGAAAAGAAGGATGTCTCGTATCAACCCACCAGGGGAAGGGTTCTCTACCCCATTCCTGTCACCAAGATCTGTGACTGGCCCCGGGCCTAGCTAAGCCCAAGGTCCACTTGTGAATCATGCAGTGTTGCCTGAAATCTTTAAGCTTCATGCAGGGGGAGGGGGTGAAAGAGGGTCTGTTCTAAGCAGAGGAGAGCCTAAGGAAGCTGATATCTCCAATCACAGAGAACCACCAAAACAACTCCTTAACTCACAAGCAGTAAGTTGTCATTAGAACGCATTTCTCAGGTGATCAATAAGAAAGAGTGGCCAGGGGTTGTAGTACAAAATCACCCCCCATGCTGTTTTCTTGCTTCTATCCTTGTTTCCAGCTAAAGATCTATGTTTTCTAGCCTACAAATAAAATGATACATTTTTTTCAATTTTATAAAAAGAAATTATGCAACATTGATTTAAAAAAAACACACATGGATTAAATAGTGATGCTTGCTTAGCCCTAACTGTGGGAGAATTCATCTCCCACCCACCCCTTTCTTTGCAGGTTCTAAGGGGGAAGAGAGAAATTCTCTTGCTTCCTTTTTATTTGTTTCCTGTTCTCATTTGTCCTGTGCCACCAGCATCTTTAGGAAGGGTGACAAGTGTTCTCTCTAAAGGCTGCGTTCTTGTGGATGATGTGGCCTTGAGAAACACACTAAAAATACCAAGTTGGTTTCCTCCTCCTCAAAGATGAAAATGAGAAATAGGTTGTACAGCAATTCAGAGAAAACACTAAGGTAAAAAAAATTGATCCTGATGCCAAGGGGCAGTGAGGCGCCACTAGACAGAGGGCCCGCCCCCACCATGGGGGAGGGGCACTGAGAGCCCTCAGCACCCCTTCCAGGCATCCACAGCCTCCCCCCCTCCCATTAACGAGGCTCCCCATCGAGAGGCAGTTAATCACCTCAATTAAGAGCCTTTTACTCTTGGCCTTGCCTGCCAGGCCCAGGCCCTGCGCCCAAGGAAAGGCGGGCAGGATAAGCAGCTGGTCCTGACATGAGATAATTAAAATATATAGATTTGTGCTTTTTCCCTCTCCACCTTTTACTTTCTTTTTTAATGTGTGTGTATTTTTTTATGTTTAAGTGTGGGCAAAACAGTGACATGTTAAATTTTAAATGAGCAATTTGAAGATGAGCATAAATGACAAGATCAGGCAACTCCAGCGGGAACACGGTGGGTACTTGGGGCACCATCTGGGGGTTCCTCAAAAGGCTATACACTCAGTGACAACCCCACCCGTGGATATGAAATGTCCACAGTGTCCACTCAAGACCAGAGAAGACACACAGCCCCGCTAGAACCTGTCCACGGACCCTCTGAGTGGCAGATTCACAGCAGCCAAACACGTGAGCAACTTAGCAGCTGTCAGCTGCGGAATGAACAAATAAACTAGGGCGAATCCATGCGGTGGGACGGTTCTCGAGCGGAAAGCGATGCAGCCCTCAACCTGTCAGAATGTGGGCGGTCCCTGAAATCATCCCAGCAAGAGGGAGAAAGGCCAGTCTCACAGGACACATGCTGCGCGATTCACCCGTGTGAAATGTCTGCAGCAGGTACCTCCACGCTGCCCAACACCAGGGTGGAAGGGAGCCGGGCGCCACTGCTAAAGGTGGAGGCTTTCTTTGTAAGGCAATGGAAACGCTCCAAGGTGGGCAGATTGATTGACAGGTGAGTGACATTCTAACAAAGCGCTGAAAAAACCAGAGTGCACCGAGTGGAGGTGAAGATGCAGCAACTTGGAGCTCTGCCTGAAGAAGCGCTTGTTGCGGTGGCCCAGGGCTCCCGCAGGAACATGGTGGGTACTTGGGGAACCGTCTGCAGGTTTCCCAAAAGGCTACACACTCAGTGACAACCCCGCCCTTGGATATGAAATGTCCACAGTGTCCACTCAAGACCAGAGAAGAAGTGAGGGAGGCCTGGGGTTTGCTGCCTGTCCCGGGAGTCCTTGCCCTGTGTGCAGAGACTGAACGCCCACCTTCCAGGAACTGTTCCTCACACTCAGTACTCACTCCACAAACATGCACTGCGCCTGTTTTAGCAGAAAGCACAATGCATCTGCTCCTCAGTCGCTCTCTCCTCTCTAAGTGTGTTGAATGCCTCCTGGGCCTGGGCCAGCGTCTAGCTCAGGAGATTGTACAGAGAACAGTGAGAAAAGCTCATTCTGAGAGCAGACCAATGACACTGTGGGTCACCGGCCCTAGTTCTGTGCCCTGCTTCTGCACTTATCAGAGGGCTTCCCTCTGCACCCTGCCGTCCTCACCTGTGAAGACCAACAACCTGGCCTGCAGCCAAACAGCTGACAGCCCTATGGCTCTGGGAAGCAAACCCCACACTCACACACCATGTGGGATCTAGGCAATTTCTTTACTGCCGGTAGCTCCCTCCCTCCTGCACCACCTAGGATTAAATGACTTTATACCTTTTTTTAAAATTGATTCATTTATTTAAAAGTCAGAGTTATAGGGAGAGAAGGAGAGGCAGAGGGAGAGAGACAGAGAGAGAGAGGTCTTTCATCTGCTGGTTCATTTCCCAGATGGCCACAATGGCCAGAGCTGCGCCGATCCAAAGCCAGGAGCCAGGAGCTTCTTCCTGGTCTCCCATGTAGGTGCAGGGGCCCAAGCACTTGGGCCATCTTCTACTGCTTTCCCAGGACATAGCAGAGAGCAGGATAGGAAGTGGAGCAGCCAGGTCTCGAACCAGCACCCATATGGGATGCCAGCACTGCAGCCGGCAGCTTAATCCGCTACGCCACAGCGCCAGACCCAACTTCACACCTTTAACCAAGGGAACAGCAAACTTTCTCTATAAAGGGTCAGGGAATGCGTATCCTGGCCATGTGGCCCATGTGGTCTGTGCTGAAGCCACTCATCTCTGCCCTTTTTTTGTAAAAGCAGCCACAGACAAAGGTTAAAAATAGGGATGCTGTATGCCAATCAAATCTTATCAACACTGGAATTCCCATTTCTACTTCATGTGACTTCCACGTATCACCAAATAGTCTCTTTTGATTTCTCTCTTGACCACGTAAAAATATAAAAACCAATCTCAGCTACACAAAAGCAGCAGGTGGGCTGGATGGCGCCATGAGCCGCAGTTTGGTCAGCACTTGGAACAGTGCCCAACACAGACTGAACCTTCAGCCCTCTAACAAGGGCTGAGCCTGTACCATGTATGAGCTCTGCCTTTTCTGTGACACATCTCATTTAAACTTCAAGTAATTGTGTGAGGCAGGAGGGGAGGGATTAACCCAATTCTCAAATGACTGACAGTAAAGACTCAGGCAAGCACATCACGTGGAATCACAGCACATCCACGTCCTTCTGACGTGAGCCCTTGTTTGTGACCATCATAAGATGCCACACCAGCCACTGGGACACAGCAAGGAATGGACCCACTCAGGCTCAGCTCCTAACAAACAAAACAAGTCATCAATGGATCAACGTAAGATGTGTGTTACA